CCACTGCCCTGGCCCCGGCTCTGATCTTGGCTGCGATATTGGTATTGTGAGGGCACGTCTTTGTCATCTGGTGCGACAACAGCGGTATTGTCAACGTTGGCATGACAGCCAAGTGATCGCAGTTTGCATGGCAACTACAGCCGGCTTCAGTCTAAGAAGCATCGCGTCTAAGAATACTTTTCAGATATACATGTACATGTACATGTACACCCAAAAATGTGGGCACAAGTTCCGTGATACAATTTTTTCCTTGGCTCCGAGTTCTTTAAAAAATATATACATCCACTTGTATAATACTCTCAGCCTGGGGACAGTAAGCTGCTTGAACCTTGTTACATGTATTGTAAAACCTGTAACTAACGACTAGGCTTTCCCCAAATCGGCCCGTTTTTTCGCCTATTCGGCTTTTCGCTAAGCTCGAAAATACATCAGATTCGGCTGCAAAATCAGCTGATTGTACGAAAATCGGCTGCAAAATTGGAATGTATTGGAAAATCGGCTAAAAGAATTGTTGGCATATTGGCATCAAAACTGGAGATACAGCTCTGCTAGATGGAATTGGCCACAACTATACGTTGTAGTGTGGTATTTTACTAGTACATGTACATGTAACGATCTTCCTAATGGCTAATGTTTGTTTGAGAGGAGGTCAAAGGACACCAGTCACACGACCTCACCGCACAAGTACCGGTACTACAAGTCTGAAGTAGAGAGCTCGTGCAGTCAGGTTTGCAGCAACATCATTCGTTCGTAAACGCACTTTGCAACAACATTTGCTAGATTCTCGGCGATTCTCAAAGGAACCCTCCAAAATCGGCGACAAGCTTAGCGAGTTTTCTACAAGTCTCGTTTTCGGCGAATTTTTCGGCCGCCCAATTTGGGGAAAGCCTACTAACGACCACCCCTTGGGGCCAGAGAAAGCGGTCTTTAGTTAGAGGTTTGCACCGCACAACCGTAATAATGAAAGTGAGACCGTCCGTGCCTGGCGAAGTGGTCTGTAGTACCAGGCTGGTCGCTAGTCACGGTGGTCTGTAGTACCAGGTTGGTCACTAGTCACGGTGGTCTGTAGTACCAGGCTGGTCGCTAGTCACGGTGGTCTGTAGTACCAGGCTGGTCGCTAGTCACGGTGGTCTGCAGTACCAGGCTGGTCGCTAGTCACGGTGGTCTGTAGTACCAGGCTGGTCGCTAGTCACGGTGGTCTGTAGTACCAGGCTGGTCGCTAGTCACGGTGGTCTGTAGTACCAGGCTGGTCGCTAGTCACGGTGGTCTGTAGTACCAGGCTGATCGCTAGTCACGGTGGTCTGTAGTACCAGGCTGGTCGCTAGTCACGGTGGTCTGTAGTACCAGGCTGGTCGCTAGTCACGGTGGTCTGTAGTACCAGGCTGGTCGCTAGTCACGGTGGTCTGTAGTACCAGGCTGGTCGCTAGTCACGGTGGTCTGTAGTACCAGGCTGGTCGCTAGTCACGGTGGTCTGTAGTACCAGGCTGGTCGCTAGTCACGGTGGTCTGTAGTACCAGGCTGGTCGCTAGTCACGGTGGTCTGTAGTACCAGGCTGGTCGCTAGTCACGGTGGTCTGTAGTACCAGGCTGGTCGCTAGTCACAGTGGTCTGTAGTACCAGGCTGGTCGCTAGTCACAGTGGTCTGTAGTACCAGGCTGGTCGCTAGTCACGGTGGTCTGTAGTACCAGGCTGGTCGCTAGTCACGGTGGTCTGTAGTACCAGGCTGATCGCTAGTCACAGTCGTCTGTAGTACCAGGCTGGTCGCTAGTCAAGGTGGTCTGTAGTACCAGGCTGGTCGCTAGTCACGGTGGTCTGTAGTACCAGGCTGGTTGCTAGTCACGGTGGACTGTAGTACCAGCCTGGTCGCTAGTCACGGTGGACTTTAGTTACAGGTTAACTGCACTGTATAGTTGTAGGTGTACAGTGCTGGCAACTGAAATCCGACCCCCTTAGCGGTGGGTTCACATTCTTTGCGATGTGAGTGCACCGCTCAGCTCAGGGGGTCGGATTTCAGTTGCCAGCACTGTAGTGTAGGTGTCATCAGCGTCACTCAGCGTGACCAGTCACTGGACACACAGGATGGCAACAGAGTTACAGTTACATTGTACAGTGCTGGCAACTGAAATCCGACCCCCTGATCGGCGGGTTCACATTCTAGCGGTCTCTATTTCGTAGTTTTACCATCCCGTGTTGGGTCTTTGCGATGTGAGTGCACCGCTCAGGGGTCGGATTTCAGTTGCCAGCACTGTCTGTCACAGTGTAGGTGAACAACAGAACATTCTAAATGGGCTGTAAGCATGAAACAGTCAGAGTGCCATAACATAGGGAAAAACACCGTGAACGAGCTTTGCACGGGGCAGAGAACTTCCAAGCTAATACAATCAGAAAACGTGCTCAACCAAGCAGAGGCTATCGATAGATGTACTACACCCCTTGTATTATCTTTCTTTGCGTCATTTCTACCACTGACTGTAATTGGGGAAGAGTATTCTCCCGCTCATAGCATATCAATTTCTCCATCAAATTTGGTTTTGCTATTGTTTCATTCAATGGGCGCGTTCGATTACACACATTTCGGTCAATTCTAGAATTAATCATGGTTGTTGCACTGTTCAACTACACAAACTCCGTTGTCAGAATCGACGTAATCCAATTCCGTCGATTCTGAAGAGAGGGTGGAATTGCTAATTCTCCCGCCAGAAACGACGCACTCAAAGTAAACGCCGTGCTAGGTCCACGTGCAAGCGGGGGTGCACGGGATCCTACGATATTTACGTGTAGTCGTTTGTTTACATGGCCGCAACCCGTTCATTCTAGAATTATAAAACCTGGGCCCAAATGTGTATTCGAAAGCACCCACTGACTACTGAGTTCTACATCGGTGAACAGATCCATTTCTCATGCACATACCGAGATGTTCTGTTCATCTCTTTTAAATACACAAGGAAAGCAGGAATGCAGCAAGTGGGATTTTAGATCTTTGACCACTTTGCGATGGGTATGATCTTCTCACCTCCCACCGCTTTAGGAGCCGCATCTGCGCCTTGAAGGCTTGATCCATAGAGGGCTCCTACGCATGAGGAAAACTCGGCCTCCAGCCTAGTCACACGCAAACCGTGATTCCGTGAATTACTTTTAACTAATACACGTAAACCAAGCACAGGATATAGATGCTGAGCCCAGAACAAATTTTTAGAAGAAAAACTGGAAACTCCTGTTATTTGGTTTAGAGTCTATCAGGGAGTTGTAACTTTACGACTCCCTGGAGTCTACTGCTTTGCGCGTTTCGGGCCCAGATTTCTAAGCAGTGATGAAAATCTCTGCATTGTGGCACGTGCCTGGAAAATGGGTCTAAAACAAATAAAATTTATTTTTTTATTTTAGTAACATCTTCTTTGCAATACGTAAAGCCCAAGAGGCAAATCTTCGCGTTGAATTCCCGTCATCTAGCACAGAACCTCACTTATACCGGACCGGGCACAGCAGAGAGAGACACACACACGCACGCGCGTGCAGACACACACACACACACGCACACGTGCAGAGACTCGGATGGCACAGCAAAGGCCGTGCCACATCGGTTGACCAGGCAGGCACAATGGGTTGGTCAAAGACAATGGTTGAGATACGAGAGGTACCTGGTTCATGTTTTGCCTGGGAGCTTGTGGCCAGGCACAAGGTGTACATGGATGCGGCTGATGGGGTTTCTCGGCACTTGTGCCAGTGGTTGTGAGACTTATCCCCTCACCCCCACCGTTAGGCGCTGCATCTGCCGCTAGGGTTTACTGGGTGCTAGCGGCCGTCGTGAATTCCCTTCGGGAACACGATAATTTGCTTTACAAGTACTTTGTTTTACATGGGTTGATGAACCAGAAGAGCAGGAAGCCAGCCCTGCCATTCATAACTTACTAACATAGCATAGGCATTGGCAAAATAACAGTCAATGATCGCCCTGCTCACAGTGGTCACCCATGTGCCAGTGACGCGGAGGAGCATGTACACAGTTTGTGAATGGAAGCCAATAGCAGATGCCTGGCCAGACGATACCAGCACTAGCAGTCACTCTAACAAGTTTGCAAATGACATCATAGTACATGGGAATGACATCGTCATGTAATGACGTGTATGCTTTGTATGGAGCAGCAACCAATGCTTGTTTTGCCATTGCATAGCCGTCATGCCAAGCATTTCAATTCATGACGTCATCACACAACCCCTGTATAGCTGTAGTGCAGTTGCCATCGTGGCAATGTACTACAGTGTACAGCACCACCATGACCATAAATTAATAATGTCCGTGCAGCACGACATGCTCCACTGGGTACGCACTCACTCAATCAGAGCTAACACTGCTCTACTCCTTACCAGGTAGTACATGGACCACACGACATCACTGGACATGATATCACTGGGTCATGACATCACTGGGTCTGTGGGTCATGACATCACTGCGCTATGGCATCACCGGGCTATGACATCACTGGGCTATGCCATCACTGGGCCATGACATCACTGGGCTATGACATCACTGGGCTATGACATCACTGGATTATGATGTCACTGGGTCATGTGCACAGCATCACGACACTGAATCAGACAGCAGCAGCAGCAGCAGCAGCAGCAGTGGCGGACATCCTGATCACAAACAGCCAGGTGGGTGACACAACAACCTTGTGCTGAGGCGATGCAGGTTGAGACGGGGGCATTACGAAGCAGAGGGAATATCATCTGCCGGCAGTACTCAAGTCTCAATGTGCATTCACGTTCTACGTGGTTTCTGCATGTACGAGTAAGATACCAGACATGAAACACCGGGGACTCCCAGCCTGAGTAGGTGCAGGACAAGACTCCCAAGTTCTTGATTCCTAACCCAACGGCTGTGACCGACAGCACTGGGCGAGTCATGGACACACTTCCATCATCTCTCTCTCTCTCTCGCTCGCTTGTTACTTGGGTGCCAGAAGCTGGGGTGAGCTGTGGTACAACAAGACTTGCATGAAACAGCTATCGTACAGTTGTTGATCACCTTCAATGCGTAGCAGAGTCCGTGGCAGTTTCAAGACGTTCACTGGCAGTGTGAAATGTTCACTCACTACATGATGGCTGCCGAAGTACTATGTACAACAGAACAATCACAAACGATGAGTACGCACGCATACTAGCCCGACTCAGGAGCTGACATCAAGATGTAACGACAAGCGGCTGCCACTGGGGTGTAACGTTAGCTGAAGCACGGCTGAGTAGCAGGTGCCTTCGCTGTGATGGAGTAGCTCAGCTGGCCTTCATCAAGCCGAAAAGCTCCGTCAGCCGCGTGTAGTTCAGTACTTCGGTGAGGGTGGCGTTGACGGAGGAGTCCTTCTCCGCTTTACGGCCCGCAAACACGGCAACAAGGTAGAAGCGAGCGTCAATCTTGCCCAGGAGGTAGAACCGGCCGGTTTGTGACTAGACGGATAAGCAGAGCAAACACAACAGAACATCACAGAACACCACACTGTGACACTACAGCCAAAACTTTACGCTGATACACACGCGAGAGAAATACACACGGACTTGATTTGAAGTCTGAAGAAAGTGTCGAACGGTCTCTGCTGGGATGACGACTACACCTTAGCTCAGTGGTTAGAGCATCGCTGGCTACAAGTGAGGGTCCCTGATTCGAGTCCTAGTGGTGACAGTCAATTTTTTCTTCAGACTTTTCCCGTTTGCATCTTTCCCTCTAACCAGTGAAGACTTGATTTGAATGGCACATTCTTACTGAGTGTCAATCCACACAAACAATGTGGCTAACTGCAGTCAGTTGTGCAAGGCAAAACCAGTGCATGTACTGGTGTAGTACATGTACTACACGCTGCATCCACGCCGCTGCCACTCCACACATAGCATATGAAATGATGATAACTACAAACATTACCTCTGCGAACACAGTTCAACAAGACACATCCACACACAGCCTACACACCAAGCCATAGTCACCCACTAGCTCTTCATCGTGCCCCCCCCCCCCCCCAGCTAAAACCAATGTCTGTGGAGTGACAAGCTATCGACAATCCACTACGGAGTGACATGGGGACTTACTGGGTCGAAAAACTTGACCAGCTGCGGCTCCTTTCCCGACAATCGCCCGTGGTGTTCCTGTATTAGGCTCACCACTGCTGGCCACAGTGCCTTTGGGTAATCCTGCAGAGAGACAAGAGAAAGAGAGAGAGAGAGAGAGAGAGAGAGAGAGAGAGAGAGAGAGAGAGAGAGAGAGAGAGAACAAAGGAGACACAGCTACTCAGCTATACGTTCATACATAGCCACACATCCCCACCCCAACCCATGTACCCTGCAACGGGGACACACTGGCATGATCTGGCAACACCGACCCCAAGGGAGTTAAGCAGGTTTGGAGCAGTACAGATGATGCCGGGACACATCACGTGATCTCCTGACATGCAGGCCAAACTAACAAACGCGCTGACAAGAACAGCTCTTGGTTGGTGCTGCTCCGACCGCAGCATGACCACATTTGTGCCATGTCAGACCACCTCGGCACGAGAGAGCACACCTCGTGCTGCAACAGAGTGCAGTGCCATGCACAAGATACGGTAGGTGGCTACTACATTAACATTATTTTACATTTGCATAATCGGATATACACGAAACATCTCGACTGATGATGTCGGTGTGCATGTCTTGCATTGGAACAGGCTGTCCCTTGCGATACAGCGGGGATAGCTAACGACTTCTTAGCTCACGGGTAGATCACCAGGACCGCCGAAAGCAGTTTGTCATCGGTTCGGTAGTATCACGGCCTTTCATGCAGTTTGTGTATGTCTGTATAATATGGCAGGTACACACGTCCGCCACAGTACTAAACATTTGTTGGTGGCCAAAGCGTTGGTCCGGTGATAACCTGACCAACCGGACCGGTTCCAGCCGGCCTGAATTTGCCATTACGACTCCCTGATCACTCGTAGGTGGGCACTTGTGTTGTCACCTTGTTTGATCGCTAGAGCTGATGGGTGGGTGCACAGAGGGATAATAACGGGCACGCTGAGCTAACTCATGACACGTGTCTATATGTCACAAGCGGCAAGCGGCTTCGCATCATTCACAGCAAGTGCACACACATGCGCACACGTTTGCACATGCACGCACACGCACACACGCACACACGCACACACATTGGACCTTGGACGCCCATCGCTAGTGCGATGATAGCGTGCGAGCTGAGCAATAAGGGGAGTGACGCTTCAAGTCACCTGCCCGGCGAAATGTTCGTCCACGCATGCACTGAAAACTCTTTGCGTACACACACACAAACACCACCACCACCACACACACACACACGCACACACACACACACACACACACACACACACACACACACACATCACAGAGTACGTATGCAGACAGGATACCAGCAACGTACCGCTGGGAAAGCCAGAACAGCTGGGTAGGAAGCTAGACCAACGGGCGGCTCACTGATGTTCATAGGTAACTTATAGCCATGTCCAGAGTAGGGTGGTACGGCGTTACGGCTATCATAGACCAGGGCAAGGACGAGCAAGTCTGAACGACGCCGAACACTACCCAGCCTGGACGAACAAACACACACATGCATACACACATGCATGCACACACGCATGCACACACATGCGTGCGCACACACACACACATGCACACAAACAAACACACACACACACACACACACACACACATGGGGACAATACAAAGATGGACGACATCCACACGGACAGTAGCTAAAGACAAACGCTTGAAAATCCTTGCCACTTTCCGGGTGCAGGAGGAACGGAGTCAACAAAGAACAAAGGAAGATAGCAATATAGTACGAAGAGTAAATATCTGCTATGCTAACTCTAGCTGTAGTTCAGTGCACACAGCAGAACAGCAGAACAGCAGAACAGCAGAACATCCAACATCCAACACCAACAGCAACACCAACATCAACACCAACAGCAACAGCAACAGCAACAGCAACTGTATCAAAGCCACCATCATCAGGACTGAGCAATTGTGGCAGCAGCAGCAACAGGAGCAACGGCAGCAGCAGCAACAGCAGCAGCACGAACTGTGATGACAATACCAACGACAACACAACAACCAAGCCGATACAGACTGTACAGCAACTACGCCGATCACTTTCACAGGCAACCGCAGCAGTAGCAGTAAGCAGCAATAAGCAGAGAACCCCTTCAAACATGTACTGTGACAGCAATCTTACTTGGCCACCACATCAAGATCAGCCTTGGCCATGGCATTCTTCATCTCAGAGGAACTTTGCTCGGACAGCGTCTTGTAGAAATAGAACGAGAACTGGACAACAAACAAACAAGACCCGCCAAAGACCACAGGCAAAAGCGGCATGCCAGCACACGCAAACGTGCACGCGTGCACACACACACACACACACACACACACACACACACACACACACACACAAAAGGGGTATGAGATTTCTGGTTGAACAGAACACGCATATAATCCTCCTGACCTTGCACCCCCTCCCACCCACACACACATTCTATCTTACTTTGTTACTCACTTCCTGCACCCATGCTCACACAGACTACAGTTTATAGCATGCGCACTGATTCTCTGGTGTCGGAGTCTCTTCCAATAGTTCTTGTTAAGATACTGTATCGAAACCCAACATAGCGAAGTGAACTTGTTCCTTCGAATGTGTATTTCGTCAACTCTAGGATCAGTGCCCCGTGTTTGCCCCCAGTTGTGTGATGCACAGTCAGCTCATAGCTGGTGGAGAAGTTATCTTATTGCAGGTCGGGTTTAGTTCGTCGTAGTTGCCTGTTTGTAACAAGACACACGAAATGGACCGTGGACTGCGGATGACCAAGCTGCTCCCACTCCCTCCGTCGGCAGCCACATTCCCGCACTGATGAAGTTGTTGGGCAGCACCGGCAAAGGCGTCTGAAAAAACCGGAGAGTAGCAAATGGCTGCGATGCTTCAACAAACTCTACACAGCCCAGCTCAGTAGCAGGTGGGATTGTCAGGCATCGTGGCAAGTTCTGGCGCTGAACAGACCGCCTCAGCTCCAGCAGTAAACGGTCCACCAAGGCTTCTTGGCGAGTCAGCAGCACAGTCTGTTGGGAAGTGCCAGAGTTGAAGTCGCACGGCACAACAGAAACACACACACACACCAGCAATAAGATAACTTCTTCACCAGCGCTGAGCTGGCTGTGCATAACACAACTGGGTGCAAACACAGGGCACGGGTCCTAGAGTTGACGAAATACACATTCGAAGAAACACGTTCACTTCACCTGAAGTCACCACCTTGCACGGCAAAGGACAAGGCGTGAAACGGCTGCCAGAAAATTGGTCACCTTCCGAGTCCATGTGCCGTTCCACTCCCCATGGGTGACAGTCAACATCTGCCAGGCAGCTGCTCACACTGCAACGTGCCACATCGTCCTTCTTGCCGAACCTTTGTGATGTGTTTGATACATGGCTGATGAAGCGGTCACCGAGCCGAGCCCTTCATCTCTTGCGGCAGTACTGTTGTGTAACGAGTACTGCCGTATGATAACTCAAGGACTTGGTCAGGCAGGCAGCCACTCAGTGTGACTAGTTTGAATTATTTGCGGTTCGATTTACTCATTGTTTACGTGGCACCTTGGCGATGAAGGGAATGTTGATACTAGTCCTGCGAGCGAAAATCAAGTTGAAGATCCCAATGCTCGGTTTTGATGCCTTCGAACAACGAGTCTTTTGAAAAATGGATGGTCAACCAGTTGAAGAATTACCTGCGAGCTAGAGGCGCCGGAGTGTCCGGGAAACGGGGTGATTCGCACGAACGGTAAGTACCACTTCAACACTAATGCCATGGACAGCCAATTAGTATCGCCAAACATTGTGCCGATGGACATGTTGAAAACAAGAAGCAATCTAGCCGGACCCAGGGTGACCAGCGCCGCATACGACCATGGTCTTTTAAAGATACTCTTTATGGCAGATAGATTCAAAACCAGCCCCAAACTGAGAGCTGAGAGGGCCGAGCGGACGGATTCACGGGTATCTGGACGAACGGTCCGCAGGATGCTGCACAACGCAGGACTGAAGGGCTGCATCGCCGTGAAGAAGCCTTTCATGTCGGCCAAGAATTTGAAGAAACGACTAAAGCTTGCCAAGGCCCACAGGCACAGGACAGTGGCAGGTTGGAGTCGTGTGCTGTGGACTGATGAGTCAAAATTCAACTTCCCTGCCTCTGATGGGAGTGGGGTATGCTCGCAGGAGGCCTGGAGAAAGACTCAGCCTGAATTGTTTGTGTGGAACTGTAAAACATGGAGGCGGAGGCATCATGGTGTGGGGATGCATGTGGGCGACAGGCGTTGGGCGGCTTTTCAAGGTCGAGGGCATCATGAAAGCCAACCAATACATCGGCATTCTGCAAAATGTCATGCTGCCGTCCATAACTGACCTCTTTGCTGATGAACAGGCTATTTTCCAGCAGGACAATGATCCCAAACACGTCCAAAGCACACACAGCCAAGGCTACCACAGCATGGCTGGCTATACTGGACTTGACGGTGGTGATAGAGGGGCCACCACAGTCACCGAATTAAGCACTTCCCCACCACCCACAAGTGCAGCTACAAGTTCTGCAAAAGGCAAGCCAACGTGAATCGAGGATCTAAAGGAGATCCTCAGGCAGCACCACCAGGGCAGCAGGAGGGCAAAGAATGATGGTGAGCTGTTCACTGAGTGCAAGCAGGCATGGTATTCCATTTCACCGGATATATGCCACCGCCGCGTGGAACCGATGCCTTGCCGCATGACAAGCTGTGCTTTTAAGCAACAAAGGAGGCCCAGAGGCTGACAGCAAAGAAGCTGTCCTTACTTTTTGCCGGGATTAGAACAGCTACCATGACAAGTTCTAGTTGTTGATGCTACAGTCCGCTGCATATTTTTAAACTGTGCAATTTTGGCCAAAACTGACGTTTGGCCACCACTGTATGTCGCTGCGTCTGAATTCATCCCTGCCGGACCCATCGTCATCCCTGCCGGACCCATCGTCATCCCTGCCGGACCCATCGTCATCCCTGCCGGACCCGTCGTCATCCCTGCCGAATCCGTCGTCATCGCCGGCTGGCTCGCTTTGTTTTCAAACCGCAACCCCTGCTTCTGGCAATACATTCCAATGGGTACGGACAATGGACATCTACCCGTCTGCAGTGGACCTACAGTCAACTTCGCTAATAACGACTGTGGATATAACGACAATTCGCGAATAACGACAGAATTTCCATGCCCAGAGCAAAGTCCCATTCCACTGTAATACAATATAATGAGCTTCGCGAATAAGGACACTTTTTTGATGCCCCGCCGAGTGTCGTTATAAGCGAAGTTGATTGTACATGATTCTAGACCATGGCTATGCATCTTGTAAACTCAAACTCACAGGTCCAGACTAGGTGAGGTCTGCCTGTCGACGAACGTCAACAGCAGCACGGTGAACTGTGCGAGTTTTCCGGTCGCCAGTAGTCGACATTGGCACTTAGAGTGCATGAATGGGCTGTGGACTGCAGTAAACAGTGGCAGTGAGCGGGTTCCTAGCAATCTAGAAATCAACTGTACCTTGGAGAGCAGTGTGTGGTAGAACTTGCATATCCAGTGATAGAGCGCGGGTAGCTGCGGCGCTTTAGAAGCCAGGGAGAAGCCGGTGCGTGGTGACCTCTTCGTCTGAACAGTCACACAGCACAGGCAGAGCACACAGGGACACAGACACAGGGACACACATAGGGACACGGTACAGACAGCACACAGTACAGGCACAGGCAGGTCCACACAGTACAGCTTGAACTTCACACAATACGTTTGCAGTGCAAGATGGCAACTTTGCACCAGGCACCACCACCAAGCGCAGTGTTCGTCACACTTTTTTTAATTCTTGTGACAAACAGCGCTTTGCCAAGCAATCTTCGTGGTCAGTGCCTCTCAAGCGCACATAGTAGAAAGTCTCAAATGCGGGCATCGCCAGGACAAGGACACCGCCAAGAGGAGAAGGGTACCACCAGGGGAAGTGCATCCCCAGGAGAAGGGTACTGCCTGGGGAAGGGCACCCCAGGATAAGGGTACCCCAGGAGAAGGGCACCCCAGGAGAAGGGCACCCCCAGGGGAAGCTTGCTGTCCTATAGAGGAATGTGTCCTGACCCCACAAACTCACTGTAACCGTGGTAGAAAAGCCAGGCTGAAAGCCAGGCTGTCCAACTGTCTTCCGGTGTGCAAGACAATTCCCCGCACTCGCCTAAACACTTGCAAAGTTAATAATTCACAAAGCTACTGTACTCTGGACTTGTGAGAATGCCCAGCAAACGAAGTGGAGTGCGCAACAAAAGTCGGCAATGATAAGAAGCGTAATATGGAACTTGTTACTCGGAGTTCCATGCCACTTGGGCAATCATATTATGGTATTGTCTGGCAATTGGCCAAGTGCAATAACTAATAATAGTGCAAAAACTAATAATAGTGCAAAAACTAATAATAGTGCAAAAACTAATAATAGTGCAAAAACTAATAATAGTGCAAAAACTAATAATAGTGCAAAAACTAATAATAGTGCAAAAACTAATAATAGTGCAAAAACTAATAATAGTGCAAAAACTAATAATAGTGCAAAAACTAATAATAGTGCAAAAACTAATAATAGTGCAAAAACTAATAATAGTGCAAAAACTAATAATAGTGCAAAAACTAATAATAGTGCAAAAACTAATAATAGTGCAAAAACTAATAATAGTGCAAAAACTAATAATAGTGCAAAAACTAATAATAGTGCAAAAACTAATAATAGTGCAAAAACTAATAATAGTGCAAAAACTAATAATAGTGCAAAAACTAATAATAGTGCAAAAACTAATAATAGTGCAAAAACTAATAATAGTGCAAAAACTAATAATAGTGCAAAAACTAATAATAGTGCAAAAACTAATAATAGTGCAAAAACTAATAATAGTGCAAAAACTAATAATAGTGCAAAAACTAATAATAGTGCAAAAACTAATAATAGTGCAAAAACTAATAATAGTGCAAAAACTAATAATAGTGCAAAAACTAATAATAGTGCAAAAACTAATAATAGTGCAAAAACTAATAATAGTGCAAAAACTAATAATAGTGCAAAAACTAATAATAGTGCAAAAACTAATAATAGTGCAAAAACTAATAATAGTGCAAAAACTAATAATAGTGCAAAAACTAATAATAGTGCAAAAACTAATAATAGTGCAAAAACTAATAATAGTGCAAAAACTAATAATAGTGCAAAAACTAATAATAGTGCAAAAACTAATAATAGTGCAAAAACTAATAATAGTGCAAAAACTAATAATAGTGCAAAAACTAATAATAGTGCAAAAACTAATAATAGTGCAAAAACTAATAATAGTGCAAAAACTAATAATAGTGCAAAAACTAATAATAGTGCAAAAACTAATAATAGTGCAAAAACTAATAATAGTGCAAAAACTAATAATAGTGCAAAAACTAATAATAGTGCAAAAACTAATAATAGTGCAAAAACTAATAATAGTGCAAAAACTAATAATAGTGCAAAAACTAATAATAGTGCAAAAACTAATAATAGTGCAAAAACTAATAATAGTGCAAAAACTAATAATAGTGCAAAAACTAATAATAGTGCAAAAACTAATAATAGTGCAAAAACTAATAATAGTGCAAAAACTAATAATAGTATGTATGTATGTATGTATAACTCATAATCACAAGGTGATCGTAGAGGCATTAATCAGCGAGAGAATTGTGAATGATGTCTCTGAATCCAACTCTATCGTGTGCTGCATGAGAGAGAGCATGCAAGGGAAGACCCGTCCAACTTTTAATGTTAGAAATCCATGATGTTGCGGGCCTTCCTCTCGGTCGAGATCCAGGAGTTGATCCTTGCAGGAAGGGCTTGGAGAAAACGTCATGTCTCGTAACATGGCCAAACCACATCAACTTAAATTTCTTGACTTCGTTCGCTAGCCGCATCCTTGCTCCGATGATGTCATTGATTTCTTCCAGGATAGATTGGTTGGTACGCCGGTCGTGGTATGTTACTCCTAAGAGTCGGCGGAAGCATTTCATCTCGAAGGATGAAATTCTTCTCATTGATGAGGCAGATAATGTCCAAGATTGGCATCCGTATAAAACAGTCGCTAGCACAATAGACCTAACAAAACGAAATTTAGTAGGCAAAGAAAGTGATGGCGATTTCCAAATGAATTGAAGCTCAATGATCTTTTGCTTCCCTAGTGCTAAGCGTCTTCTTATCTCCACATCGGACTTGCCATCCGACGTGATTACGGCACCTAAGTATTTAAACTGGGATACCTCTTCTATTCGCTCATTGCCTACTTGAATGCACCCCAGATCACCACCGCCCTCCGGCGCTGCCATTGACTTGGTCTTGGAAGCATTGATCTGCATGCCTAGTCTTGTTGCACTCGTATCCACGTGCTCGGTCAGGTCCATCAGCTCCTCCACAGACGATGCGATTAGATCTATATCATCCGCAAAACGTAGGTTGGTCACGCACATGCCGCCGATACATACTGACCCATCAAACTCCTCCAAAGCGTCAGACATGATGTACTCCAGGAATACGTTGAACAGACAAGGCGAGAGTAAACAGCCCTGCCTGACACCCACTGACGTGGTGAACCAGTGGTGAACCAGTCTAATAATAGTGCAAAAACTAATAATAGTGCAAAAACTAATAATAGTGCAAAAACTAATAATAGTGCAAAAACTAATAATAGTGCAAAAACTAATAATAGTGCAAAAACTAATAATAGTGCAAAAACTAATAATAGTGCAAAAACTAATAATAGTGCAAAAACTAATAATAGTGCAAAAACTAATAATAGTGCAAAAACTAATAATAGTGCAAAAACTAATAATAGTGCAAAAACTAATAATAGTGCAAAAACTAATAATAGTGCAAAAACTAATAATAGTGCAAAAACTAATAATAGTGCAAAAACTAATAATAGTGCAAAAACTAATAATAGTGCAAAAACTAATAATAGTGCAAAAACTAATAATAGTGCAAAAACTAATAATAGTGCAAAAACTAATAATAGTGCAAAAACTAATAATAGTGCAAAAACTAATAATAGTGCAAAAACTAATAATAGTGCAAAAACTAATAATAGTGCAAAAACTAATAATAGTGCAAAAACTAATAATAGTGCAAAAACTAATAATAGTGCAAAAACTAATAATAGTGCAAAAACTAATAATAGTGCAAAAACTAATAATAGTGCAAAAACTAATAATAGTGCAAAAACTAATAATAGTGCAATACCTCTGACTACAGTACTGACGGGCACCAAAGTACGGAGCGCCGAAGAACGGAGCGCCGAAGAACGGAGCGCCGAAGAACGGAGGGCCGAAGAACGGAGCGCCGAAGAACGGAGCGCCGAAGAACGGAGCGCCGAAGAACGGAGCGCCGAAGAACGGAGGGCCGAAGAACGGAGCGCCGAAGAACGGAGCGCCGAAGAACGGAGCGCCGAAGAACGGAGCGCCGAAGAACGGAGCGCCGAAGAACGGAGCGCCGAAGAACGGAGCGCCGAAGAACGGAGCGCCGAAGAACGGAGCGCCGAAGAACGGAGCGCCGAAGAACGGAGCGCCGAAGAACGGAGCGCCGAAGAACGGAGCGCCGAAGAACGGAGCGCCGAAGAACGGAGCGCCGAAGTACGGAGCGCCGAAGAACGGAGCGCCGAAGAACGGAGCGCCGAAGAACGGAGCGCCGAAGAACGGAGCGCCGAAGAACGGAGCGCCGAAGAACGGAGCGCCGAAGAACGGAGCGCCGAAGAACGGAGCGCCGAAGTACGGAGCGCCGAAGAACGGAGCGCCGAAGAACGGAGCGCCGAAGAACGGAGCGCCGAAGAACGGAGCGCCGAAGAACGGAGCGCCGAAGAACGGAGCGCCGAAGTACGGAGCGCCGAAGAACGGAGCGCCGAAGAACGGAGCGCCGAAGAACGGAGCGCCGAAGAACGGAGCGCCGAAGAACGGAGCGCGAAGAACGGAGCGCCGAAGAACGGAGCGCCGAAGAACGGAGCGCCGAAGAACGGAGCGCCGAAGAACGGAGCGCCGAAGAACGGAGCGCCGAAGAATGACCAGGCTAGAATTTTCACCAAGCACAGCATACCAATGTACACGCTGACTCGACTGTGCACAGACTGTGATACATGGAAATAAGAACGGTCTATGCTAGGAGGCTGCCTCCCCCCCCCCCCCCCTCCACACACACACAGTTCTTCGGCGACTGACAGTACTGTAACAAACAATAGTGTTCACTAGCATTGTCAACGTGTGTAGTTTCTAGTTTATACTTTGTAGTGACCCTTCACTGTAGCTACTTCAGTACAACGCCGTGAACGTACCCATCCCTTATCTTCTTGTGGAAAGCCATGCCACTCTTTGAGCTTCTCTTTGCAGTTGCGTAGAGAGAACAGAGCTGGTAGGTACTGGAATGTCGAGATCTGTACCGAGCCCTGAAGCAGACAGGAGAGAACCTGCACTTCACGACTGAAAACAACACGCACGCACGCACGCACACACACACACACACACACACACACACACACATACACACACGTGCACACACACACACACACACACACACACACACACACACACACCATGTACCACCATGTATACGCCCGTTGCAAATCTGCAAATGCACTGGATGTGCACCCACAGATTTTCTCTTATAGCAACGATAGCGAACAAGATCTGAATGAGACAGGTCAAGACTTGCGCCAGATAATTGTCTAATCCACACAACTGGCGAAGCCATGTGAATCGACCACCAATGCACACCTGGTCTACACCACACGGAGTACATCGGCATAAAACGACCAAGACAGTTAGCTATGCACACCCTACACTTGCTGGGGTAACCAGTATAGTCAACACGCTGCTTTGACAAAAGCAGACACTAGATGCACTGGTACCTTGAAGTGAAATTGGAGGACACACACACACACACACACACACACACACACACACACACACACACACACACACACACACACATCAACTCTCGTTTGCACAAGTGCTTCGAAGTACATGTACATGCAAAGTAGAACATACCGGTAGGTGTCCGGCCACCTCACTTTCCACTCACCATGTAAGCCCAACCACGTGTTACTGCCCCCCCCCCCCCCCCCCCCCCTAAAACGTGCCCCTAGTTATCTCCAAACGTTCTGGAGCAGGGATTGCTACTCAGCAAGCTCAAGGGCGCAACGAGGCATTCTGCCACTGCCGCGACACACACTAAGCTAGTGCATTTAGCGATTGCAGCGATCCGCTCTCCGTGCTGTTTCATCTTCTTCACTCGTTTCCTTTCTTCAGTCGCTGCACTCATTTGTTTCGCATGATTCCACGTCGATGAACGGCGTGGTTGCCATTTTAGTGCAAGTTCTTTTTCCCGATTGATTTGGATCGTGTGGAAAAGGAGAGAGGCTTTTCTCCAAACCTTTCTACCATTACCTATTTTCTAACTCTCTTGACACCTTGTTGTGGCCTGGTGTATGAGTGTGCTGGAGTGCTGGCTGGATGGGGTAGAGATTGTAGTGGCAGTTTAGTAACAACGTGGTGCCGAAACCCGGGATGCAGAGGATGGGTCTGTTTGTTGCCATCATCGCCACGTCGGCAGTTAGCAGTACGAAGGAGAGAAGCAGCAAAGAAGTATGTCGACTCATTGTCTTGAAACGCTTCGATCAACTAAATCAAATTTATCGAGCGCAACAACTCCTTGGAACGTGAATAAAAGTCATGAAGTATTATAATTTTTTTGTTTCGGAAGGAAGAAGATCATTTCACTTACATCAAATTGTCCTTGACGGGATCCAGCAGTCCTGTGGAGGAGATGTTAACCCTGCAGGCATGATACAAATGTAACAGCAGAAACAACAACAACAACAACAACAACAACAACAACAACAACAACAACAACAACAAGAACAACAACAACAACAACAACAACAACAACAACAACAACAACAACAACAGCAGCAGCAGCAGCAGCAGCAGCAACAGCAACAGCAACAGCAACAGCAGCAGCAGCATGAACATCATTTTTAGTTGTTAAAAAAAGATTTGAAACAACAACGACGACAACAACCAAAACGCCGACGACAACAAAATGTGTGTGTGCGTTCGTGCGTGCGTGTGTGTGATGGTAGCAGTACATCTGAAGTACGGTAAAATCTCAGATTCCGCTAGGATCAACAACAGGGTCCTACATCGAATCGGGGTTACACGAGGTTTGAAGGCGAAGAATGTGACAGTGTGTTCATCTGCCTGGCTTGGCCAACAACCAGTCACTGCTGGTCGCAGCCGTTGTCTGAGAGAGCTGGGCCGCCGATTCACTGACGACTCACGGAATGTGGAGTGTTACTATAGGTGTGGCCGGCAGGGCTGTGCCCAGGGCCACATATCTCTCACACTGTCACACTTGAAGCCGAAGCTCCGAAGCGTAACACCATACAGGACAAATTGAACATACTAACATGTCAACGGTGCCAAGGTAAAATAATATCGTTCTCAGAACTGGAAGCGGAGTGAATTTGTTTGGCAGCACTATTCGCAATCTAGACGCAGACTCGGTTTCATTCCCATTCCATTCCAGAATGGGAAAACCAAGCCAATCAAAGAAGTTGACAGCACCTGAGCTGTCAAACAGTTGACAGGACTATATGTATTTTACGCGACCAGGAGCCACAACTAGGACTGGGGAAATATGAGAGTGTATTCACCGAAACATACGACTAGTCAGCCGTACGCGTAGCAAGACCTTACTTTGGCAGAATCTGCACGGCCTTTGCTTCGATGGTGGTGATGTCGCTGCTGTGTGTCTGCAAGTCAATGTAGACCTCGAGAAGATCTCTCCGAGCCTTCACATACACACCTAGAACAAACCCATTGAGAAACGCACAAGAATTACATACGCTGGGAATCAGCTACGACCACTGTGTATATACCGTACAGGCAGAAACTTTCGTCGGTCAATAATTTCGTCCAACTCCAAAGAAAGGGAGTTTGTCCGGTTGTAAATTTCGTCCACGGATCATAAGAGTGTATTGAAAAGCTGGACAAATCGACAGTAGTCCGGCATTTTATTTAGTCCAAAAGCTCCTTGGACGAAAAAGACGAAATTAAATTCCAGACGAATATTTCTGCTTATACAGTAATACACTGAGTTTCACGGCTAATTCCTGCTGCCCAAGTCATGCAGCAAGACCTTTTTCAAAGATAGAGTCACGTGGCATATAGACAACAGCGACATGTTTCCTATCTCTCAAACACGTGTCGCTCCACACAACCTCCAATGCACATGCAACAGATGTGTTGTATGTACACTGTACAAATTTCACTAGGCTGGCCTGCAAGGGGGGGGGGGGGGGGCAGGTGTAACTCCCCAGCCACTGCCTTGCCCCTAAACACTCCAGATCGCTGAAGGGCCCCGAGTTAACACATGGCATAGAAATGCAAAGCAAGTGGCAAAGGAATCTAAACGAGCAACACGAGTCAATCATTACTACCTATGCACCACACGGCTATGGTCAGTGATATCCGACTGTGCGCCAAAACCAGCGCTGTGTACTTAAGAAGTATATTTTCTACGTTAAACCATCCAAGGTGCGTTTTCTCAAGCCGTGCTACTGCCCGCAGTCCCTGGCCACTTGTGGCCAGGCACAAGGTGGACATGAATACGGCTAATGGGGCTTCTCGGCACTTGTGCCAGTGGGTGTAAGACTTTTCCCCTAACCCCCGCCGTTAGGCGCTGCATCTGCCGCTAGGGTTTACCGGGTGTTAGCAGCCGTAGCAAGTTTCCTCGGGAACGGAGACATGTACTCAATCCATGAATACACAGCATGTACAGTGTAACAAGCCTCGGCAGGGCTTTAGACTAGCAGTGTTGCCACATCATTCTAGCCAAATATCAGTAGCATGAAAAAATAAAATGCATCATCCGGGGGCTTTGCCCCCGGACCCCCCCCCCCCCTCCCCTATATAGCGACCTCGATATACACACATGCGGCACTGATAAGAAAAAAACATTTCACGGTTTTGCGTGACACTCGGGCTGAGTTTGCCGATTTTCACCGAGACGGATGATGATTTCGCTTAGCGCCTCAGGAGAGAGCTATGGAAACACTCGTGCTGCGCAGTAAAAGTCAAAAATCTGGATCACGACTCCTAAACCATCCATAAGGTCAAACTTGAACACTTTCATGGCTGTTGTCGGCAGGAGAAGGTCAATTGTCGGCAGGTCGTGACATGCCTCAAAAATCGGCAGGCTACTGACATGTCGGCAGGTGTGGCAACACAGGACTAGGGAAGCTGGATGTCATTGATCATGGCTGGACAAACATACACACGTGAATGCCCCCCCCCCCCCCCCCCCCCCCTACACGCACACGCACGCACACACACACAGTGCTATAACTCCACGTACCTAGAACCGAGCAAAGACTGGCCATTTTCCTCTCCCAGCCAGGTGCAGTTCCACCTTTCTGCGCACCGTAGATCTCACCAAGTTTGCCTATCTCCGTCAACAGCGTTGTGTAAGAATCTTTCAATCCCTGGCATACACACACACATAGGTATGCACGCACGTACATACGCATGCACAGACACAGACACAGACACACACACACACACGCACACACACACACACACACACACACACACAAGCGTCACTGCAGGAATGCTACACAATCACCACGAAAACCTGGATCATAGCAGAGATGTACGAATACACACTACAGTGACAGGGCCATGCAGAATGAGATGTAGACAGAGCTGTACTGTACAGAACATCACGTCGCCTACTGTGAACAAATGAGGACTGGGAACTGAAGTGTGTTCCTAAATGTGGACAGTGTGTGGAGTACATAGGTAGCCTAGCTGTTTGTGATACATGACTTATCCATTTCGGGATCACCACACAATACATGCTGAAAGAGTGTAAATTATTATGACAAGATGAGATTCGAAAGCCAAAGGGAACGGGAGAAACAGTCTCCAAGACCATTCCCGTCACGGCTGCAAAGCATAGATTTACAGCAAGAGTAGAAAACGACTGTTGTAACACCAAGATTTAAGAACGTGCTAGGCTGGAGCTGTATCTGCGCCTTGATCCTAGAGGGCGGAGGCGTTTTTTTTATTTTTTTATTTATTTTATTTATTAAGGCCACAGCTTCCAATCATGACATGAAAACGGATGCGGAAAATTCGGCTCACGAGAACAGTGAATTTTTTTAAATTAGGCTGGAAGCAAAGACTTAGCAGCACCAGTGTGTGTGTGTTGTTCATGTAACACTGCATGCACAGTGTACCTCTAGTACAGTCAGACCTCACTTATCCGGTCCTCTTTTATCCGGATCCCTCGCCATCCGAAAGAAAATAGCTGGTTACAGATGTACAGCATACGTGATGCATCCAACAAAACCGGTGTTCGATTACCCGGTTCCCGCGCCTATCCGGATACTTTTGTGGGAAACGGTTGTGTGCGGTTAGGCGAGGTCTGACTGGACATGAATGCGAGCTCGGAAAACTACCGTATTCACAGACTCTATCCACAACATCTCGTTCCCAGGCGAAAACCAGTGTGTCAAACTCGTAGCTAATCCGGTGGGCTATGCCACACACACTGGTTGGTTGAGAGAAAGCAAGACCAACAACAACAACAACAACAACAAAATGGGGTGTGTATACAAAGACCCAGTACCAACCTCTCGGCGTGTAAACCAGCTAGTTTCCTTCAAGAACTCTAGCTGATGATACTGTTTCTCCGTGGCACCGAGTCGTGACAGCTCGGCTATCAGCTTGGACCAAACATTGCCTGGACCGGATGTACGCAAGCTCTCCTTTTCTCGGTCCTATACACGCAATATAGGCAAATGCATGCATGAACGCATGCACGCACACATACACACACACACACACACACACACACACACACACACACACACACGCACGCACGCACGCACGCACACACACTTGCATGCTCGCAAAAAACACGCATAGTTATCTTCTCTCCCACCCTCTCCGCCATCACCTTCATCTCCTAGCCAAAAGTTACCCAATCCTTGATGGGTCTCCTGGGGTGCAGGCGCTCTTCATGTGCAGTGGAAGATGAACAAAGCGTCCATCATAAAAGACTTCAGGGGAAGGAATGTGCACCGGTGAAAAGGCACTTGCTCATGAGACTTCTGCACCTCTCAGATGATAGTCTACTAGCTCCAGTACATGTAGTTTGAAGTACAATGACATTTGCGGATCACGTACTCCCAGGGGATACCACAATCTGAACTATATACCGTATTATCTCTAATATAAGCACAGTCTCCAATAATAGCACGTCTCCAATAATAGAACACCTTGGGGCGGCATTCAAAAAATGAAGTGCTCAGTCTCCATTATAAGAACACTGTGTAAATTCATTATCTGATCCAGCGAAAAAAAACCCTGAAATGTGTGTGTCTGACATGAATTTGGCATGGCAACAAGCCTCTGAAATGAGGTTGAAATAATAATGGAACAGTCTCCAATAAAGGAACGTCTCCAATAATAGCACGGGGCGGAGGTACATTGAAAAAATAAAGGACCGTGCTTATATTAGAGATAATACGGTAGATGAGGAAATACTGTATCCATGGCCAAATGACCAGTATATTGTAATGCAGGGTCCTGAAAAGCAGTGCTAGCGTATATTGTACACACAGTACTGTCGCGCGCCGAAGAACGACCAGGCTAGAATTTCACCAAGCACAGCATACCAATGCCATACACGGTGACTCAACTGTGCATAGACTGTACTACATGAAGAAAAAACGGTCTTGGCTAGGAGGCTGAACCCCACAGTTCGTCGACGACCGACAGTACTGTGGCCTGTTAGTGTTGTTCTATCCATTGAGTCTGCACTTCCCCAGCACAAGGTGGTGGTGGGGGGGGGGGGGGGGGGGGGGGGGGGAGTATTACTCACAAAGTGTACTTTCGCTGCATCAAAGTCCAAACCTCCCAGATGCTTGAAGAACACCTCCAGGACCTTTTGTTCCTTACTCACAGCTGGGTCAACTAGAGGCATGTCGATACGGCAACATGGCAGAAGCAGCAGCAACAGCAACAGCACATACACACACACACACACAAAACCAGAATTGATACTAAGCGAAACACCTCGCGTCCCTCACGTGACAGTCTACACATCATACACGTACAGTACAAACTAAAGTCGAGGTCACAGCACTACTTGTAGTAGTAGATTCTACCAAGAGTACACAACTCCCCGAAGAGTGTGCAATTCAAGCATACCGTATTTTCCGGAGTATAGTGCGCACTTTAGATGTGCTATTTTAGGCCTTAAATCGCAGGTGCGCACTATGCTCCGAATATGAAATGCATGTACTTCAATGAAGATTGAAGTGCGCACCTCCAATGAAGATTGGGGGTGCGCGTTATACAAAGGTGCGCACTATACTCCGAAAAATACGGTACTGCAAAACATGTAATTTTAGGTGCATTAAAATTTCGGTGTGAAAATAACATGTTTTACAGTACCCTGCTGTCCTGACAAAATTTTAAGTTGACGTCAATGTTATGATGCATTGCTCCACGCACAAATGATTTACGACATTTGCACTGGGTGTCAAGGCACTGTCAATGTTTCGCATGTTTTTCCTTGCACTAGTTTGTACAGGATCAGATAGGGGTTTGCCTGCCATAGGTCCAGTGTGCGTCTGATAATACGTGAACAGCGCGCATTACATCATAAACATGACGTCAACATGAAATTCCGCTCATACTTGTAGTGGAGCTGCTGCTGCTGCACACTCTTGGGCGTCATGTACTATTGCTAGTTCCAAGAGTACCAAGAGGTCATGTTACTTTTGTAGATGGCATAACAGGGTTCTAGCCAAAGGGGGGTAGGGGGGCACAGCGCCCCCTACTCTGTTTGCGCCCCCCCCCCCCCCCCTGTGAAAAATTGCCGCCCTCCCTACTCATTTTCCGATTTTTGTGTTTTTCATGCGTAGATGGTTCATAAAGGCACATTTGTCTGGGGTGAAGTCAGGGATTCGCCCCATATACGTTGCATTTGGCGTGGCAAGACAATATTGGAAAGTGGAAAAATGGGATCTAGGGTAACTGTTTCCCATGCCCACCCCCCCCCCCCCCCCCCCCCTACTATTTTGACCTGGCTAGAACCCTGCATAATGATAGCATATGCTGCACAACCCTCATCTTTCATTCCACAGAGCAGAAGAGCCCCTCGATAGGTTACCCCCATGCCTTTGAGCAATCCGAAAAATCAATTACTAATGCAGGGTCCCCAAATAATAATTATGAGAGTACAGTCACTAGTCAATAAGTATAAGCCTTGTACTTATTGACTGTACTCTCATGGAATTCTGCAGTCATGTAGTAGTTATGTGTACGTAACTAAAGTGTCGCTGTCCATCATTGCACAGGCACAAAAACACAACCTTATGTGTAGACCTAAGCCTAATGCTAAGGAACCCGGGGTTTTGATGATTACATTATGTACAGTGACACTTATGTTCATGTTACTGCAGATGCATGATTGTACACGATTCTAAACGGACTGCCCTAAAATATAGTCACAGAGGAGGTCCAAGGAAAACATCTTACTCGTCATCGTCGAGGTTTCTTCTAGATCCTCCAGTGGGGAAGTGATGCCCTTCCCTGCCATCCTAGTCCTCCCCCAACTTGGTATGGACGCCTTTCAAAGAAATCCCTCGACAAAATACTCTCTGCCCTTTTTGAATGAAACTTTTGTTTCGAGACGACAAAAGTGTATGCGACGAAAAAAGGAAAAAGCGCGTACAACAACGGGATAAAGCCGTGAAGGCGTTATGGGAAAACACCGCTGGGAAAGATTTTACTCAAATCGAAAGGGTTAGCAGGGTGTAATCGTGTTCTTCAACAAAACATAGCAGGATAACTCGCCTCAAATCTGGATTGTGTCTACGTCATACTTATGTTGCGCATGCGCTCTGCGTGAACGGTTTCCAACTGTTTGGAGGCTGAAAATCTGGGGATCACCGAACTGAACGGTGTGTAGACGGAGGAGAAAGATGCTGCGTCTTGCTGTAAACCGTTTGTTCCCGGCAGCCACCACTGCTGTGGCCAGGACCGCTCGTCGGGCTCCTTCTGGTGAGTTTCCTAGTCGTTGCTATTGTATCCTGACTTGGGGTGCGTGGGTGTTCAGTACTGGTGCTTAGGATCTGGTCATTCCCCGTCAAAAAAATCATGCCATGAATGCAGACTTTCGAAATATTGTCGTATGAGTGCTGTTTAGTCCTTGAGCGAATCATATTACTACCCTAAGATCGTGTTCGTTCATGTAACGTGCGTGGCATTTGCCACATCTAGGGCATACCATGTCATGAAAATGTAGGCTTGGCAGGTTTGTTACGTTGAAAACGAATGTCAGTTCAGCAGATTCAAAAGTAAATTACATGACATTGTATTACACACTGTACTTGCACATGAATTTGCTCACTGAATTTATTGGATTGGCGCTTACGTGTGCCTGACACATTCAAGTTATGGAGTCACCACTGCATGCACACACTAGCACAGCCACACTATTAATATTATCAACATGCACCTCTCTGTAGTGCTACTGGCCACTAGAGACTGGCTGTGCACCCTCTGTATTCAGCCCAGTGCAGACTGTTCTGTACATCTATACACACATCGATCAGTGGGCAGTGATGATCGCCATACTGGCAGCGCATGCAAACACATCTTCATGTACATAATTATAGTGGTGTCCGAATGCAGTGAGCTAATGCTGATAGCTTGCATAGCATTTGCGCTGAAATGAAAAATGAAAACAGCAGTGCCCTGAATCAGATCAAACTTCAGTGTTCTGTGTACACTCACTGCAACATCAACTGGCTGGAGTAGCACGAAGCCACCATTGGTGTGTGTGCTGTGCTGTGACACTGCGCACTGTAGCGGACAGTGTGAGGTCTCTCCACATGTGCCTCCACATGCGCGTGCTCTCTCTCTCCCTCCCTCTCTCCCTCTCTCTCTCTCTCTCTCTCTCTCTCTCTCTCTCTCTCTCTCACACACACACACGCACACGCGTGCGCGCGTAACTGACAATCACCTCCTCAAGTTCTCTTTTGCATACTCGTATGGGCACACACACACACACTCTCTCTCTCTCTCTCTCTCTCTCTCTCTCTCTCTCTCTCTCTCTCTCTGGTCGTGTACGCACACATGTTACATGGTATGTGTTATCTCGCAACTGGAGAGGGGGCGGATCAACGGTACTTTACGGTACATGTACTCGATAAATTGCGCCCAAATGACTATGGCAGTGCCCTGCGCCAGTACTCTAGCCTGTGTTATGTGTAGAACTCACAGTGGCAGCTTTTTCTTCAGGCTGGATTCCATTGAGCACGTCTGTGCTATGCTCTTGCAGTTTGCCAGGGCTAGGTTTTCTCTTTTGGATGAAGTACTGCAGCTACTGTTGCTGCACTGGTGCTCGGTGAGCTTTTCTTGCACACTGTCTAGAAATGTAACAAGATATTTTGTTGTGACTCCGGGTAATAAAGCAGGGCATTGCGCAGTGCCTCGCCTAGTGCCTGTAGTGCTGCACGTTCACTGGGCTGGTATACTAGTGTTCGGCGGTGTAGCACCACTTGTTGCGGCTGTAGCCTTTTTTTGTGATGCCTGTGCTTGAACTGCGTGTACATTCATCATTCATCTGTATGCGTGCTTGTGTGTGTGTGTGCGTGTGTGTGTGCTTGTGTATGTGCCTGCACAGCCACCGCTCTGGTGCGCCACAACACCACCGCAGCGACCACCGCCGGTGAGAAGCGCGAGATCATCATCGACGGCAAGCCGTTCAATCCTGATGATGTCACCGAGACCGACCCCGTAGTGCCCGACTTTGAGCGTCCCGAGGAGGCCTACTACATGCCCAGCTGGATTCTCATCCCCAATGAGCTGAACGAGATGACTCCAGAGGAGTTCGACCAGGCCTTCCTCACCTACTTCCAGCACGAGGACTGCGACCGGTTCATGTGCCGCAAAGGCATCCGCATGTTCTTCGACTGCGACGTCATCCCGGAGCCTGAGATCCTGAAGGCCATGCTGGACTGCTGCCGTCGCAACGACGATGTCACGCTGGCTGTTCGAATCATGGAGGTGTGGAGGACAAAGTGCGAGCACTACGGCAAAGACTACTGGCCCTACCTGTACGGTGAGGTTGCTGAGTATTGCGAGAAGCTGGGTATTCCTACGCTGGAGGAGCTCGGCATTGAGAAGGCAGACCCAGACCGAGTCATCTGCTGGTAGACAACTAGGTACGTACTGCTCTGTGTGTGTGTGGGGGGGGGGGTGCCATTTCGATTTTTTTGTGCCATCTTAACAGCAGCAACAGTGTGTTGTGTACAGTTGCGCCCGTTGAACTCCGACCGAAAGTGCAAAACCAGACCCGCTGGACCAGTTCTTATTGCGTCACTGCATTCATTATTTGCGCATCCAGCCGCATGTGTACCTTCCAGGGCGTCAAGGGCCGTGCGATTTGAGGGTGCCAGATATGCACTTTTGGTGGGACTTCGTCGAGCTCAACTATACTTGACTCTTGTTCAATGCTGTGTACCACAGTGTTGTACTAAGCCTGACTGTCTAGGTCAGTGTCACGCTTTCCACGAGAACCACTTCCCCATTTTAGCTCTGTGGGGTAGTGCGGAGATGCGTATGCGTTGGGCAGGGGAGGATAATCTCTCGGATATCTGACTGCTGTGTCCTTGCTCGCAACAGTAGCTGTGCTGGGATGCAGCGTGCTTCTATTTGTGTTTGGTATGCCAAGTGTTCTACTGCAGTGAAATCCAGTCGCTTCGCTCAAGTGTGCGCCTTGCACCATATCGCAGCCCAGTGTTTGCAGGTGTAGGGCTGCACAACGCCCGGCGAGTACTTGAGTGATGCTGTGACTGGATTCATTGAGCAGTACTGTACTACTGGCAGACCCTGTGATTTGAGGCGAGCGATCGCTCTCGCGCGCCTTATTTTCTTGGAAGGTGCACTTTTTGTCGCGCGCCTGAAACTATTTTTGGCTTGCATGCATGCGCATGTACGCTTTTCGGAGTGCAGCGCAACTCTACTATAAGTCTATGGTGTCAAGTGCACTCATCGATCCATGTGCAGGAACTGTGCCCGCGGTGGAAATTCAGAAAGCAAACGGGGTGAAGCTCATCAAGGGCTGTGACTCATCGCATAAGGCAAGAGAATTCGTCCGTTTGTTGTCTGCCACTATGCAGAAGAAGATCGCAAGTATCATCTCTTCATCAACTGCATTTTCTGTGTTGAGCGATGGATTGCAGGCCCGCAAAACCAGAAGCGAGAAGGAACTCGTGCTTGTTCATCTTGTAAAGGAAGGCGAGCCGGTTTTCTTCACCCTAGCCCTGATGAATGTAGACGATTACGGCGATGCGACTGCGAACAATTTGAAGACAGCCATCGACGATTCTTTTCGAGGTGAGGTGCACTAGTCACTGGTGCATCCAGAATTTTTTCTCGAAAAAACCGATATCAATAATGTGCTGTGTTGTTGGAGTGAGAATTTTTGAATCACTCTCGTACAGCTCACCTGACACAGGCGAGGAGAGCGATAGATCACTCGCCACCTATTTTCAAATCACAGGGTCTGTACTGGTGATTTGTAGGTAGAAAGTGGTCTACCAAATCTCTCTCATAATATTCACTGCGGGGGGGGGGGGGGGGGGCACACCACGCAAGAAGCTTTCATCGCAAAATGTCCTCACATTGATGTACCGTATAGGCACGAATAGAAGCCCCGGGGCTTTATTTTTCCAGAAGACACATTGAAGGGGGCTTTATTTTTTTATGGAAACATCAATTGTTTCACCCTCTTCCTGCTGATCAGTACATGCAGTGACTGCACTTGATCATTGTACGGTAGGTATCCATGACTGCAGTTTGGGTTTAGTAAGCTGTGTTGCCACACCTGCCGACATGTCAATAGCCTGCCGATTTTTTGAGGAATGTCACGACCTGCCGACAACAGCCATGAAAGTGTCCAAGTTTGACCGTATGCGTGGTTTAGAAGTCATGATCCCGATTTTTGGCTTTTGCTGTTCATTACCCGTGTTTCCATAGCTCTCTCCTAAGGCGCTAAGCGAAATCATCATCTGACAGTCTCGAGAAAAATCGGCAAACTCAGCCTGAGTCTTACGTAAAACGTGAAACTTTTTTCTTATCAGTGCCGCATGTGTTTGTATCGAGGTGATGATGCATTTTGTTTTTATCCTACTGATATTTGGCTATTGATGTAGCAGCACTGAATAAGTGCAACATGTTGCACGTGCATACCGGACACGGTTCATGTACTGCACTGCATCGTACGGACTTGGCGCGCTCGATTATAGCCCCGGGCTTTTATACGAGACGGGGCTTTATTATTTCGATTCCCTCTGACAGAGAGGGCTTGTATTCAAGCACGTACGGTATATAACAAATCTGAGTTTAGCAAGCCAATGGCCAGGTTTAAATATCACTACTGGGTCGTTGCGGCTCCGCATTGCTTATTGGCTCATTCTGAATAATGATTGTACAAAAAAAACCTGCCAAGCTTTAGATTGCGTGGGGGGGGGGCATTCGCTGCGCACAGTATTCCTAAGGATTAGTTTCCACCCAACTTAGTGCAACCCAGTGCTATACCAATCCGTATGCATAAGTAGATGCTAGGGTTTGAAAGCAACCATTGGTACAGTCCTGGCCCGAGAAATCCAACTTCATGAGTATTAGCGCCGCGGCACTATGGGGCTGTAGCTAGCACTTGAGCATGGCGCTGCTTTATTCATAGGGTCTGATTTCTCTGTCTAGGACTGTAGTGTAGGTCAATGCTGCGGCTACCAGTGTAGCAACGCCTGGGTTTTGCCTAGTGCTGTCCTGATGGCTATTATGTTCCTATGTAATCTCTCAACGTGAACATTCTTTGACTTTTTCATGCACGGCTTTCATGTGTGTGTGTGTGTGTTGTGGGTGGGTGGTTTTCCGTAGAGTGAAACATTCCTATTTGCTGTGGCATGTTTGATGACTGGCTATGTTTCACTGTGTGTATGTTGTGTGTGTGTGCGGTTTTTTCTTCCTTTCGTGCAGGTAGAAGTTCAAGTCCGCTCAGATGCATGTCCGCTGTTTCTTTTACGGTATTATTAATTATCATTTCCTCTCCTTTTGTTCCTGGCACTGCCACAGTGAAGAGTGCATTTTTGTCAAGACTTTGTGCGTGTGTTGTTACATGTGTTATGTACATTGTGTGTGTGTGTGACGGCTGGTCTGGTGAGCATGCCAGTGCTTATTCTGTGCTTTGAACCAGGCCTCTGCACATGTGCACATCCCGCTATTGCTCAGTTTGGTCCGATATGTTTCTTTTATGCCATCAAGTTCTTTTTTGACGGCGTAGCCATAGTCCTGTTGATAAGATATTTAACACCTCTGCTGAATACGCCTGTGCTTTCCTTGGTCGGCTACTGTTGTGGACATTGACATCCGTTGAGAAGTCAAGCGGCCACTGGGCGCTGGCCTTGCAGCCGTGTGAGCACTGCTGGTCCATTTTTGCAGTGTGAACGTGGACTACAGTGCATGTGCATGAACGCGCCAGGGCAATAAGGGAGCCGACCCCGTTCATTCCACCGGATTTCAATGTCCTCGACAGTATGTCGCGTAATGCAGACGCCGCCGGTTATGGTCCTTGCATGATGCATGTCAGTCATGCTGAGGTAGTGACCAGCCTGCATGCCAGGGTGCTGGCTTTAAGTTTCACTCTGCTTTGTGCTGTCTTGAGCAAACATCATGAACGACTTTACAGTCTGGACATTTCCTTGCAAAGCTGCCTGGTGCAGGCTGAGCACTTCTGTACATACTGCTGTGGTACGGGCTGCAAGAATACCATGAATACTCAATAGCTCGGATATGGTCTGCACCATTCAGGAGTCGTAGCCACACCACTCCTGCTGCATAAGTAAACAATCTCAATCCCAGGCATGCATGTCGGTTGGCAATAGGAAAATCAGTCATCAAGCAGTACATGTACTGTCTCTGTTATAAAAGCCAGCGTCGTATAATAATCGTAGAAGCCGGAATTCAAGCTGGACCGCCACCGCACACACTGGTGATTATGCCTGGTTCTAGTAGTGCACATGCATAAATATTATACCGGTCTTGATTATAGCAGCAAGTTCACGGCTACCACCGGTACTGGCAAGTGTACATGTACTCGGACACTGTACACAGTCAGTACAGGTAGCTGATACCAGCGAGTAGCCATGTGTTCATAATGGATTACGCCATGCGGGACCAGCGCAGCAGCGGCTTCATGCTATCACAATAGTGCAGTTTTCACGTAGAACAGCTGTCGATGATCCATACAAATGATTCATCACATTGTAGCAGACGTTCTTAGTCCGCACAGGATGCGGTACTCAGTGAGTGCATTGTCGTGTGACAAACTAAACTCTGTTCAAGAAAAACAAGACTGCTACTAACTTACAACACTAGAATAGCACAAACTAGACTCAGCCAAGGCGTGTCTGAACATCAAGGGCCGCAAAGCAATTCTACAACAGCTTTGCATCGTAAAAGGGTCGCCCTGGATACGAGGCGCATCGAAGGCGTGCCTGGATAAAATACAGCACAGCCGGCTCGGTCCAAAAGCGGACACTAAAAATCAGAGAAGATAAGACAATCTGAAAAAGCGATGACCAGAGTAGAGAGGTGAACAAGACGAAATACGGAAATAGCAATACTGTAAAAACTGGAGCACATGGCTATGATGTGGCACATGGTGTTTGTGACAGCAGCAGGATCAATTTACGGGCAAATAGGATATAAAAACGGCGGAAGAGATCAATGCGCACAGTTATCTACTGGTACAGCTCGAGTTTGGAGTTGCGCAAGCTAGCGGTGAAAAAGCTATGCGAGGTCGCCTTTATTCAGCAGAAGTGCCAGGCGACTTTTCATCAAGTAGCCGACTAGCCATGCGCGCAACACGCATAGGAGCGTCACTAGAGAGTAGGTCGTCCACCGCACCAGAATTCACTTTGAACGACCACACCATCATACAGTCAAATTGAGTATGTCACGTGCTATGCCACTCTGCTACAAGGAACCACCTGTGGTCCACCGTGGCATAAAACGCTAGCACAACCAATCTCATCACGGTGGGGGATCGTGAAAGCGACTCTTCTTCAGCGGAGGACTGTGTTCGCCATACGGCATCCCGGGACGCTTCTGCGACTCACCCGGTTTGGGCGGGGTGTAGGGCACCTGCGGCGGAGGAGCTCCCAATGTCAGCGGAGTTACGGACTTTGCGGATGATGATGATGCCGCAGCTGCAGATGGCGCTGAATGCTGCGATTGGCTGGATGACACTGACGTTGAGGCGGCTGCTGCTGTCGTGGCCCCTGTGCTGTTACTGCTGCTGCTGTTGTTGGCGGTGGTACTGCTTGTCGACTGCTGCTGCTGATGAGATCTAGAAGAGGACTGCGAGTATCTGGACGGACTGGAGGAGAACGGTTGCCGGGATGACCCACTGCTACTGCAACACAGCACGCAAGAAAAACACACAAACGCATCGTCAGATAGCAAAGCAATCTTAACAAACGACTGCAAAACATGGGCACGGGCCATCTGCCACCAGGGTGTCTGGCCAGGGGGGGGGGGGGGGAGGGGGGGGTAACGCAACGAGCGAGAGAGAGAGAGAGAGAGTGTGTGTGTGTGAGAGAGAGAGAGAGATAGCGAGAGATAGCGAGAGAGAGCGAGAGAGAGAGAGAGAGAGAGAGAGAGAGAGAGAGAGAGAGAGAGAGAGAGAGAGAGAGAGAGAGAGAGAGAGAGAGAGAGAGAGAGAGAGAGAGAGAGAGAGAGAGAGAGAGAGAGAGAGAGAGAGAGAGAGAGAGAGAGCACACCTTGCCAAGCACGACCAGCAGACCACACCTGCATGACCTTTAAGTTGTGGGCAGGCTACATACACTGAAACTTCACCGGCATTACAGACAATAGACTTACTTGCTACTGCCGTGTTTGGACTGATGGCCATGATGCCAGCTGTCGCCATCACGATGCCTCGGGTCGTCATAGTACCGGTCGCGGTGGTTGTCACGACGATGGTGCGAGGAGCGGTAGTCGTCGCTGCCGCCGCCACCGCCGCGGTGACGATCCGAGTCCTTGTCGTAGGACTGGCGGGAATGCTCACGGCCGTCTCGATCTCTTGACGATGAGGAGCCCATACGGTCCCGATCACGATCACGAGAGCTACCGGTGGAGGTGGCAGCTCCACTGGATACTGGTTTGGTACTGCGGCGAGAACTGGCTAGTAGAGACGGTTTGTACAGGGCGGAAATGTCCTGCGCACGCATGGAGTTAGGACTGGAGGAGCGGAGATCCGGACTAGCAGTGCGAAGCGTGTTCACGTCCTGAGGCAAACGCTACGCAACACAACGTGACAGCACAGAATGCATGCGTGCCCGCATACACACATATACACACACACACGTACGTACACACACATACACACATACACATGCACACAAACACACAGAACAACATAACATGAAGCCTTACATGCCAAACGCCAGAAAATCACACAAAACATCAGCACACAGCGTGGTTGTTAGCGACCACAGTGACAAGAAACATGACATTTCTACCATGGCGGTGAAGGGGGAGATTCGATCTAAATTATCTCCTGACGAAAAGAAAGAACTTCAATCCTGCGCTGCTATTTCTGCTGCTCTGACAGCAGTATACCACGTAGAGATACAGTACAGGAAGTAGAGGATGAAAAGGTTCGTAGTCACTCTGTGTTACACGCACACAAGGCCATCAAGAGTAAGTCAATCTACCCTTTGCGCATTGAGCAGTGTTTTGGACAGCCTGGAACCGTTCTGTTCGGTTTTTAGAGATACGGTTCTGACAACTAACCTCAGAAGGGTCGGAGCCACCATGCTGCCGTTGCTTCTTTCTGGCCAGCTTGTAGAGATTGCGCAGCTTGCTGGCATCCGTTTTCAAGCCTTGCGCAATGAAGTCCCAGAACAACCTGCGAACACGACAGAAAAGTTTCAGAGAAGAAGGCAAAATGAAGACACAGACTAAAAGGGGGGGGGGCAAGGAGGAGCACAAGGAGTAAGAGGCAGGGAGGAGGAGGAGGAGGGGGGGGGGGGGGGGGGGAGGGTACAAAGCACACTACTTACTCTCTCCATTTGCACTTGTCGTCGTCACTTGACATACTCTCCAGCATGTGGTGGATGTGATTGCCGACAACCAGAAGATTCTGTGCACGAACACGTACATACAACGCACATACACACATACACACATACACAACAACACACCAGTACACACATACACACATACACACCAACACACCAGTACACACATACACACATACACACATACACACATACACACATACACAACAACACACCAGTACAGATAAACCATGTGAGGCCGGAAGCCGGGACATTTGAGCTACTCCCCGCAGCACCTGGCATACACCACAGTGCATTCGTAAACTACACACGGCTTACGGCAATTTTGACCTCAAAAAGGGAACAGAAAGTAGGTATGCCCAGACCAAGGGAAAATAACACATCCGATGCAGCAGTACAATTAATGTGTATGCAAAAAGACAAAAAGTTCCAACACCATCCTAAGTTGAATTTTTGCACAATGATCATGCATACCATGCCTCTTGGGGAAAAAAAGAAAAAGAAAAAGGAGAAAAAAAGTGTTTGTAGCCGAGGATGTCAGCACGAATCATTCACAGAGCAAACAGAACAATCCGTTTCCTAGACTGGCGTCACTGTTAGCCATATCCAATGACTGCTAAGCACCATGGAGGTAATGGGTGCTTGCCGTGGCAGAAAGGTGGCTGTTCTAAACAAATTTCAAGAGAATTCTACTGTCGCACAGTGGGATTTGAACCGGAGGGGGCAAACACGATTGAGACAAGAAATTACCAAACTCTCTACTTGACCAATCATGACAACAAGCAAGTTGGAAGTGTGGATATACCCTAGATAAGAACACACTTTGAAGAGAAAAGTCCAGCAAAGAGTCCTTGCTCCTGGAGGCATTATTCGAGCAACACTGAAGCATGTTCACAAGAGGAAAGTAAAAACTCCAGACTTGTCCAACTCATCAGTTTCTGTACATGTAGGACCAGTTGCTGGTATCGTATTCAACAGAACAGGCGCAGAGCAGTTTTAAAACTATGACCTCACCTTGCTGTTGGCCGCAATGCGCTCTTGGTCACTGAGCGCGCTGTCCGGACTCTGTAGCTTGAGCAGGGCACCACGCACAGGCTTGAGCAGCTTCTTGCACTCCTGCTGTGACTGTCAGCCGCAAACACACACACACACACACACACACACACACACACACACACACACACACACACACACACACACACGATTAGCACCGCATTTATTTAGAGAACATAATGCTCAACTCATGTGCAAGGTTGAATGGACACACATGGCAGTGTAGAAGCAGTGGCAGTGGCACTCTAGAACGGACAAAGCAGTGACAGTGGCACTCTAGAACCAGTAACGCCGTGACAATAGACTACACGGGTGCAATCCCCACCCAAAGAGAAAGCTGCCACTGCCGGACCTGGAGAATATCGGCCTGGGACCGGCATGTGGGATTAGGAAAGCTCAACGCCCAGCGCTAGCCACGCTACACACCGTACCCCGCACCCCACACAACAGCCATCACAGTAGAGAGCACTGTGTACCTTGGTCTCAGGGCGCGATGAAGCCGATGACGTCGAGCACAATGCAAGCGGCGACGGGCGTGAAGACTTCTGCGGGGATCGATGCACAGCTCTCTGTGAGGATTGCCGCAGGGGCGCAGAAACAGGCACACCGTCAGCGGCTTTCATTCCAGCCTCTGAAAACTCAACACTGCCGCCGAATAGCATGCTACTGGTCAACACAGCCTAGCACAGCGCACTGACAGCTATAGCTAAGTGACTATGACTATGAGTGGTGGCAGAAAGGCAAGACTGCAGAGGGCTAATTGCTATCCAACTATCTGTATGCGACACACGCTCAAAAGCATTACAGTGCCGGTGTACCCATAAAGACACACCGATGTCTACATATACCGTGCACAGATGGTGCGAGTTAGCCCCCAAACGTGCAAGGATGTGCACTTGCCTCCAGCTTTACGGTACCAGCACAAACTAAGGATACGTGGCAGCGACTGAATATACAGGAGAGAGAGCGGAAAGAGAGATATATATATAGAGGGGGGGGGGCACGGCACACAAAGAACATACCTTCGCTGCAGAGGAATCCGTCTTCTCGCCAGTACTGAGTGCCGATGTCTTGCTCCCAACGGGCATATTTGTCGGCAGAGAAGCTGTGGTCATGGTTACTGACGTAGAGGCTGAGCCATTGTGGACTGATTCCTTGGTTGACGATTGTTTCGCCTTGGATGTCGATTTGGGCTTCTTGGTCGGAGCTTCGGCTGAGGTTTTGCTAGTGGGAAGGGGTCCTCCGTTAGGCAGTGAATGTGGCGCTTTCTCCAGAGAAGCGCTGATCGGCTCCAGGGGTGGCATTTTCCCTATGTCCTTGTCGCCGCTGGGAATTTCCTTCTTGGGCTGCCGGATCTTTGGCCGAGGAAGTACAGACTGCACAGAGATCACATGAACACAAGAAGTCAAAACTCAATTGACGCTGGAGGATGGCATGACGATGTTTCTTTCTTCAAGCCACTGTGCTCCAGAAGATGAATGATTACAATTTGTGATGGATGTTCTAAGTGCTGGGCACAGTAAGTGAGGTTTTTTTTCTCCTTTCTCGTGCTGATCAATCCCCTCCAAGAGGGATCACAAAATACAACTCTAAAACAAAACAAAACAACAGGCCCTGAAGAAAAGGCAGCACAAACAAGTTCACACAAGTTGGTCTACATCTTCATCCAAAGCTGGCACCTGAGCGTGTTGGAGTTTGGGGGGTACGGTGGTAGATACAGTGAAAACAATCGTACGCCCGCAATTTACTGCCCGTGCAATTCTTCCTTGCCACATTTGAGTGCGTGACAGGCAGAGAAGGAGTTGGACATGTGGCAAGGTTTCAAAAAATTAGGCCAAATACAATACATCATGACAAACTATATGGGTGAGCAGGTTCGGAAACCCAACGTGTCAAAATTAGAAGTGGTCTTTTCAGCCTAGATTCAGCCAATATCGGGTTTTCAAGATCGACAGGACTATTGAATAGGAAGAGCCCAGTACAATCCAGCACTATAGTATGTGTGTTGTCTATATCACTGCAATTCCTACCGTCTTCTGTGAGCTAGCCATTTTGATTTCTTCCTGCAGAAGTTTAAGTAATGCCTCGGCTCGGGTTTGCAAATGCTTTCCTTGCGGCTTCTTTGTCTCGTCAGCTGGAAGAATCTGTATCGACGCAGTGTGAAACAGAAGGACATGACACAATGATATCAGACAGAGCAGGAAAATCTAGACATGAAACAGCCAAAATGCAACGTGGCTAACGCAAAGAATGACAAGGAGTAAGGACAGACCACTAAACACCAACCACCACCAGCAACAGTACCACCAGAACCAGAACCAGCAGCAGCAGCAGCACCACCACCACCACCAGCACCACCATCAGAACCAGCAGCACCAGCACAACCATCAGCACCAGCAGCAGCAGTACCACCACCACCACCACCACCATCACCACCAGCAGCAACACTAACAGCAGCAGCAGCAGCAGTACCACCACCACCACCACCACCATCACCACCACCAGCAGCAACACTAACAACAACAGCAGCAGCAGCAGCAGTACCACCACCACCACCACCATCACCAGCAGCAGCAGCAACACTAACAGCAGCAGCAACACTAACAGCAGCAGCACTACCACACAACTTGTTTGTTCCGTGAAAACGATCAATAGGATCATGTGACGACTGCAATATAGTATCATAATAATTATAATCATATTGACAGCCAGCCAGCAAGCCAGGCACGCTGGCAGACAAGCAGCCAGTACTGACCTTGTCAGCGAGGCCGAGTTTGAGGTCTTCCTTGATAGCTAGCCAGCTACCCACGCCATACTCGTACATGCCAATGAGCAGCATGGCGTCGTCCAGGACACTCCACTCAATACCCCAGTGTACCACTTTACTGCGACTAGTCAGACGAAAGCTACAGCATACAAACAAGCACAGACACAGTACATGTATAGGCGACTAGTCAGACGAAAGCTACAGCATACAAACAAGCACAGACACAGTCCATGTATACGCGACTAGTCAGACGAAAGCTACAGCACACAAACAAGCACAGACACAGTACATGTATAACGTTACCCAAGGACACCATTGACACAGGATAGACACAAACACACAAGTGTACTTTAAAAGGTGACAGCATCGACACATGGCAGCAGACATTCGTAATGCTGGAAGCCCGTGTCAAGTAAGTTAGGATTCCATGCCCTGAGCCGGCTAGTGATGCAGTTGTACCAAGTGAAAGTACACCACACGGCTATACCAGAACCATGTAAGCAGGTCCACTAGCTTACTTTAAAGAATACTTTTCTGACTCGGACCCGTCCCAAGTGCTCAGATTAGGGTCCAAACAATTATCATTTTCACCTATCGATTTCTCAGGTTGAGTTCAGATAACTGACATGTGAACATGCACAAGATGTAGCCGAGGATGTCAGCACGAATCGCTCACAGAGCAAACAGAACGATCCGTTTCCTAGACTGGCGTCACTGTTAGCCATATCCAATGACTGCTAAGCACCATGGAGGTAACGGGTGCTTGCCGTGGCAGAAAGGTGGCTATGGGAGTCAATATCCACAAAACAATACTGCGAAACCCGAGCTAAAAGAGATGTGAGGAGAAAAGACACTTACTTTTTCCTCTTCTCTGGATTGGTGGGAATACAAGTAGCCAGGGGCTCGAGTTCTTTCTCTCGCTTCAGCACAGACGACGTGTTGATAGTCATACCGGCTAACTTCAATGTAGCACCGCGCTTTTTACCTGCCATCACACATACACATAACGCATACACACCACACATACGCACGTGCAGTGCATACAGAAAAAATGCAGTCTCTGGATAGAGCATTTCAATAGTACAATGTATGTGGTCACCGTGCTAAAGAGGCAATGCACTAAACATAATTATGATCACTACGAATACCAGAGAAAATAGACCACGGAGGTCAACTGAGATATACAGCTGTAGCCGAGGATGTCAGCACGAATCGCTCACAGAGCAAACAGAGCGATCCGTTTCCTAGTCTGGCGTCACTGTTAGCCATATCCAATGACTGCTAAGCACCATGGAGGTAACGGGTGCTTGCCGTGGCAGAAAGGTGGCTACTGAACAAAGTTTGTAATTAACTAATCATGATCCAACCGCTCGGATCTGGACTCTTACACTGGGTCTATCTCACAGGGCGGCAGCCATTAGGACTCAGCCCATGCTCCATGTACCGTAAAGTCGCGTATAAAGGCCGCGGCTTACAGGACTTTTTTGGGGAAATTTTGAAGGCTTCTATACAAGACGGGTATCTCTATGTATGTCAACACAAAAACCAGGCGTATGTGCCGACAATGTATCTTGAAAACCAGGCTTCTTTTCAAGACAGGCTTCAATATGAGACAGGCGTTAATACAAGACAGGCTTTAATACAAGACACTACGGTATGCATATGGTAGCAACTCACCATCAAAGTTGGGATCACTTATCAGTCGCTCATCGTACTTCTTCTCTTCGTCGACACAACCGTCGTGTATTAGCTCACCAAGGCGGCAAAGATCGGCAGTGGACTTCTCTGTCAGCTGAGCATCGGCAGCAATAGCATCGAGTCTGAACAAGCACACACAAACAATGATAATAGCAAGATGGAGAGTGTACTTGCATTAGGGTGTTGTTACAGGTGATTTGCACTGGCGCACAAGCAAGCAAGCCGGTGCACAATCGGACAAGGAAACGAACGAAGACAAACAGTCGGCAAAGGCAGGGAAGAGGAATAAAATTAATGCTGACCATCCATTGTAGAGGATACTCCGAAACCAAAACAGAGACACTTTTCGGACAGAGTTGCAGGTGATTGCAGCCTTCCACACACACACACTGGCCTACGTAGACACACCAGGGCCCTGGAGTGCAATCAACAGAGGCTGCTGGCGGCGGCAGGCGGCTACAATCCTGCTTACCTGGTAAGCGGCAAGCCAAACTTCTTATAGCTCTTGACAAAACTGCACAACAGCACACAAGAGATAGCACAACACCGGGGGAAAAAACATCAATCAGGCTGCGGCGGGGAAAGAAAGTCCACAGGTAACACCCCGGTCTAAAGATCCAAGACAACTCCCAACGCTAACATACATGAAGTGCACATGACATCAAACACCGCCCAGAGATCACTCAGGTGGTGTGGCGGATTCTTGATGCGGTTCCCACCAACAACTGCAGTGGACTCATCTCAAATCGAAATAAGCCAGGACATACAATAGTAGAAAAATCGCACCATATTGACCACCGGGCACTCCACTCACACAAAAGATCAACAACAAGAAAAAGAAAAATCCTCATGCTCGCTTTCTTACTTCCGAACTTCATTGTTGGTGAACCCGGGCACATCATCTTTCTTCGAGGCCCGAGGCCGGCCGCGCACCTTTGGCTTGCCATCACTATCGCTGTTGCTGGACTCTTCGGAGCTGTCCTCGCCTTTGGCAGCTTTCCTCGACGTGACTGACCTCTTCTTGGTGGACTTGGGCTTCTTGCCACCTACGGACGGACTAGCTGAGCGCGTCACTTTGCCTTCGTTGTAGTTCACATCCTGCAATGGCAACAGCAACAGACGCATCAGCAACAACATAATCAAATTTCTGTACTGTTTCGGAAGGCAAGGAGCCAAGAATAGCGCGGAGCAATTCGCAAACTGCACATCCATCCACAGGCCCTCCACCAGTACAGCTGCATAGTTGCAAGTGTACAATGCGGCAAAGGCAAGGGAAGCATTCACAACAAAACACAGTACGTCCATGCAGACGCCCGCCATGGTGAGCCAATATGGCGCATCTACAAACAGCGGTGCACACGCGCGCGCACACACACACACGAACACACACACACGAACACACACGCGCGCACACACACACATCACTACATGTTGAAGCAAGAGAAATCCGACCGCACGAACACAGCAGTACCCAAGACGGTCCAGGGCCTGCAGTATAGCCGTTCTCCTTGATTTACTATATGCATGTAGCTACACTAGCACATCAATCAGCACAATTGCAGCATGCTTGCAACACACACGCACACACACACACACACAATCACTTCATATCTGGCTCACCCCTCTAGCACGAGGACCCAAGTACATCTCCTTCAGGTGTTCCTCTTCTTCGTGTCGATCAGCTTCAGCCAATACTTCAGCCGGCACAATCTCCTCCCAGGCTTGCTCCACGTAGCTGTCGTCCATGCATTTGGGCGAGCTTGAATCGTCCTTGCCTGCCGCTGCTGCTGCTGTCGGTGCCTTGAGTTTCTTAGGGCTGTCGGTATTCGCAGGCAATGTGGCCTCCTTCTCCCATTCTTGAGCCATCAGAGACAGATCAGCTACTTGCTGCAGATGTCAAACATACACGCACGCACACACACACACACACACACAGGCACGCACACACACACACGCGTATCACGAGCATCCACATAAAATACCTGTCTGTGATGAGTCATCATTATCACTATCCCATAACCCTATTGGGGGCCATCTGGAATTGTCGATAATTTTCACGAAACGAACAAGTTTAGTGATGTCTCTCCCCCACCCACCCCCATGAACGAAAAATATTATTATTGACTTGACAGCTAGAATGTGCTGATGTTCCAGCTATAAATATTTTTCATAACGAAATGCTCCTCAACCCAACCATAAACGAACAATTTTCTCTTCGTGAAAAGATCAATAATTACGGATGGCACTGCACAAATACGCTACGAAATCAGCACACACACACACACACACCCACACACACACCCACACACACACACACACCCACACACACTCTTTCCAAACAGTACTTGGTCTTACCCCAAACTGAGAGAGCAGATCATTGCCCTGGCTGGCCAGGGTTTGGTCAGCCTGCTGCTCGGCACGATTCAGAATGTCGTCCAGGTCCATATCCTGAAGCTTCTTGTCCCGCTCGGCATCCTCCTTGAACAGATCCTCTGCGCCGAATTTCAGAATGGCGTTCAGCTCATCCTTGCTGAAGCTAGGAACAGCATTCCTTTAGCACAAAACACAGCACACAGACTCTCAGTGATCATGTACAAACACGCTGCAGCATTCCCGTTGCTTCCCTAGCAATACCCCCCCCCCCCCCCACACACACACACCACCACCACTACACCCGCACCCATAATGCATTCTGCACAAAAAAACCTGAAGGGTTCAGGTACAGATCAGCTGTAGCCGAGGATGTCAGCACGAATCGCTCACAGAGCAAACAGAGCGATCCGTTTCCTAGTCTGGCGTCGCTGTTAGCCATATCCAATGACCGCTAAGCACCATGGAGGTAACGGGTGCTTGCCGTGGCAGAAAGGTGGCTGATTAAATTGATAATTCTGGGAGGTTGTGCACAATAAATCACCATGAATGATCCAAGGTATCACTTGAAGATTAGCAACTACAATCTTGCACTGTACAGGAGCGACACAGCATATTATTTACTCCTGAGAGAGATTCTAAGCACAAGATATACTAGAGGACGCGGGTCCACCAGTACGTATGCATGGTTCTGCAACGAACAGCTTACTTGGCATTCTTGGACAGCACCGTTCTTCCCGTGGTGTCCATGCGCTGAATAACGAGATGATCCAGGACCATTTTCCTCTTGGCACGCTCGATAATGTTCTCCTCCACCGTGTTCTTGGTGACCAAGCGGTATATATTCACCTGACACGCAACACACACAGGAAGAGGCAGCAGTTAGCACACAAAACACGAGACAGAAAGCAACACACAGAAAGGTGCATGCCATGAATATGCTCTACTAAAATCCCTGGCACACAGGCCTGAGGTAGCAGACACGGAACACAAAAAAAACTCCACTAAGTACTGTAAATACAAGTACTGTAAAACATGTCATTTTCGGTGTAACTTTAATTTCGGTACAGAAACCAGGCACCTAAATTTAGATTACACCTAAAAGGCACTAGAGTATGCACTGTATGTGAAGGGAACGCTGGTCACCTAATTCTAAACTACACCTGAAACCTGGCAGGTTCCTGCCACCGAAATTTTAAAGCACCTAAAATTACATGTTTTACAGTATGCCATGAATAAATCCATCCTATTACGTTAGTACAATCATGCATGTAGCCATCCTATTACGTTAGTACATGCATGTAGCATGAAAAATGGCTGAAAGGACCACCCCATCACAGGCATTTTCTCATCCACGCTGAGATTAAATTAATACGATAGCTGTGGACGAACACAGCTTTCACCGAACGTTCGGCTACTTGCGTGACAAGCGAGCACGGATAACGTAGTGTCCTTTGCAAACGTAGAAAATCCATGCCCACCAGGACGGGCATCTGCCAGTGATTCTACGGTTCATGACATGCGGTGTTAAATAGCAGAATGAACAGACACCCACCCACACACACAGACACACACAAACAGACGGATGACGTGTACCTGCTTTCTCTGGCCGATACGATGCGCCCGGGCCTGAGCTTGCAAGTCGTTCTGCGGATTCCAGTCGGAATCAAAGATGATCACGGTGTCCGCAGACGCAAGATTGATGCCCAAACCGCCAGCGCGTGTCGACAGCAGAAAACAGAAATCGGACGAGCCCTCTGCATTGAAATGATCCAACGCCTGCTTTCTGAGATCGTCTGGTATGGAGCCATCAAGACGCTGTAGCACAGATGTAGCACAGACAGACAATACCAAACACAGGAACTCATTTGTGCACAGCGACGGGAATTTGTTCGGATCGGACGCTGCGCCAGAAATCAAACACTATCCTATCCTTCTGCTGTGCATTTAAAGCATAAGATGTGCAGTTTCCATTAATACTCATTACTGACACATACATACTAAATACAAAACGATGCACTTGCCGCGAGAGCTGGCTTGCATGCGTGTCCCCTTTCGCGAACCCAGAGAATCTGTCGGGATTTGCCTATAGCTAAAGAGACGTGACCACGCACCTGGAATTGGAAACGCCGTAGCTTGAGGTACTCGGCCAGAATGTCCAACATGCGCACCATCTGCGAAAAGATGAGAACACGATGTCCAGTCTCCTTCAGGCGTACCAATAGCTTGTCAAGCAACATCATCTTGCCACTACCGCTGGTGTATGCCTGAAAGACAAGAAACAAAGAGAAGTAGAAAAAAAGGCAGTCAAGCAATGTACGAGTCAGTGTGGAGAGAGATGGAGATAGATAGATAGAGATAGAGAGACCGAGAGGAGAGAGAGATAGAGAGACTATAAACTCCCCGTTGCTCACATCCAATTCTTATCAAAAGAAACTCTAGGATACATCCCCTGCAGATGCAACCGTACTTATTGCCAGGAGATTGCAGTGACTAGTGCAAGCACATCAACATCTACCCAACTAATCACAGCCAAGGACCAATGAGTCGCGTATATCCAGATCACCACACCTAGATCAACTACAGGTCTATCATCGTTGGTACGACATCGATTACAAGACAAACCTCATTGGTAGACAAAGATGAAAAAGTCCAATGATGCCTGAAATGCATACACTCAAGTCCGCATAGTACACACTACTTGTATATATTATAAGAGGACAAATTTGAACCCCCGGCGGGGTTGTCTACTACCGAGGGTAGACCTGTACCTGGATGCGATCGACGAGAGATCTGACTTGGAGCTCTTCCTCCGGTATGGACACCAGATGTAGATGGTTAGTGCATTTCTTCAGCTCCATCATCACGTTGATCGACGTGCTGCGCGTTTCTCGTCTCAGCGCGCCGAGGTTCTTGGTGACGATACACCGGTAAGCGTCCTTCTGCGCACTGGTCATGTCCACGCGTAGGATTTGCTCCACCTAGCCAAGTGCAAACAACAAACAAAAAGCAAAATTTCTTTTGCCAGTCATTCAACAACTCCACCTTCTCTGATGAGGTCTTAGTGACCGAAACAGCTGTCAGAAGGAATACAACTTCAATGCTCGAAGGAACCTCTTGTTGCTGTTGTGGGCAAGTGAGCGTATGTATGTGGTCGGCCACAGAGTGCAATGGTGGTGGTGAATGTCAACGCAGAAAAGAGAAAATGCTATAAAACTCCATTGAGAATGTACATGCCTGCATAAAAGCTGAGTCCTATTGTTTTCGCTCACTGCACACTAATGTCTTGGACGGAGTACTCAGGGGTTTCCCATCAACATGAAAGAATCACAAGCTCTACGGCATCAAAGAAATGGGGACATGGAAGTCCGAATTCAAACCAACCTTGGCCGGAAGGGATGTCTCGACATTGGACTTGATTCTGCGCAGCAGAAACGGCTCCAGTTCATGGTGGAGCTCTCCAAGGCGAGTGCCGTCACCTTCATTGAAATGACTATGGTCTTCTTGAAACCTCTCCCAGGAATCAAACCTGCACCAACACACGCACCACGTACCACACACAATCAATTCATGGGCCAAACATCAGCCACATACTCATATAGCGGTAGTCTTGTGTGTTCAGGCTAAAGTACATTTCGGCATTTATGTAGAGCACTCTTTGTCGTGAAAGTAGTCCTTTCTGTATAATAACTAGAGGTAGTACCATCTGCCATAATGAAACATTGGTTGCTAAAGTGTCAATTCAAGTCACCAGGGAACGCGCTAGCTTGAACGTTAGGAGCTACCAGCCGCATTCGTACCACTTCGAGGGCCGTGCAAGTAGAGGGCGCGAAATGTGCACTTTGGGTGGGATTTCACAGAGCGCAACTGTACATTTCTCCGTGGAGCACTGTTGAGCCCACACAAAAGACAAAACCAAAACTGTGTGCAGACTGGGTGCCGAGTGCAAAGCACATGGCAATGCATTCAATACGTCCATTTCACAGTGCCAAATTATTGAAATATAGAAGGCATGAGTAATGCACGTGAGTACGCCGGGATCAGCAATACACTGTTTGATACCCCACACAGCCATGCCCAGGTGGCCGTGCGGGCTGTTGGCGGTACAGTGGTCCCTCTATAATCCAGCACCATTTGTGCCACGGAAATACTGCTGGATTAGGGAGGGTGCTGGATTAACAAATCGGATTTACTCCTGCAATATACATGAAAAGGACATTTTGGCTACTGAAAAGTGTGCTGGTTTATCAAGGGTGCTGGTTTATAAAGTGCTGGATTAAAGAGGGACGACTGTACCAACAGTCCATAATCCCCCAGAGTGCGCAACTTCACCGATCAAATCTGGGACGGCGAAATCCGTGTTGCACGTCACAGTGTGACATCACAAGTAGGGGAAGTGTGTTTTCGTGGTGGACCGCATGGACGAAATGACGCAAGTCCGACCCAAAAAATGACGTACATCACGGATTACACCGTCCCACAACCCCATCCCAGTTGCGCACTCTGGGGGATTATGGACACTTGGCGCTAACAATTACGTCATTGGGCAGTGAGCTTATAGTGTTGCTTACAGCGCGGGTTTGATGAAGTGCAGCAGTGCCCAGAGCTCCTTGAGGGAGTTCTGCAGCGGTGTGCCAGTGATCAGAACACGGTGGTTAGTGTGAAACTCCTGCAGAGTGCGGTAGAGCAGCGAGTCCTCGTTTTTCAGACGATGCGCTTCATCCACCATTAGCACGGCCCAGTTGATCTGACTGCCCAAGAACATCTACAGTACGGGAAAGCAGGAAAGGAAGAAGCAAGTCATAACGCACAGCACTGAAGCTCTGGTAGTGAGCCAGTGAATCTATCAGCAGTTCTGTCAGTTGAGCGCCAAATTGGGGTATGATCTGGGTGTGTGTTATTCGGCTATGCACAGAAGAGATGGAAGGCTGGTTAGCTGCTCTAAACTGAACTGATCATCAGACAGTATTAGTCTGCAGGTGTTTGTGAGTAAAGGCGGACTGGTACTCAAACCTCAAACCGGCGCCCAGTTATTCTCCTCTTCTATAACTACATAGACCCCAGTTTGATTGTCACCGGGAGCTGGACAAGATACTGTCATCATACAGTTAGAAGAGGAGGCAGTATCCGGTTGAAGTGGCGGCCTGTTATTCAAACCCAGAAATCATGCCAAACGCCCCATGTAGCTGGCAAAGGGAGCTACAGTACACAGAGTTGAGTACTGACCACGCACGGCACAATGCACACATGCTGACACACATGCTGACACACACACACACGCACACACACAGAGTTGGACTTCACCCCCGAAACAAACCAGTGCGACACACATGCAGCAAGATAGGCCGGGATCGCCATGGTGCTCACCTTGTCTTTGAGAAGGATTTCGTAGGTGGTGATGAGCACATTGAACTTGATTTTGTTGCCTCTCATCCACTCATGCTCACGTATCTGCAAGGGAACAACACAACAACCAACACCCACAGGTGCGAGGGAAAGATGCAAACGGGAAAAGTTTGAAGAAACAATTGACTGTCACCACCAGGACTCGAACCAGGGACCTTTGCTTGAGGCCAGCGATGCTCTAACCACTGAGCAATGGTGCAGCTGTCACAAAAACAACTGACATGTCTGATTTGACTTGACTCATATTAATTTTTAAGGATGAACCTAAGGCTGTGGGAGCCTATCGAGGGGCTCTCCTGTGGTTGTACCAATGTGTTGCCATTCTGCTTCAAAAGACACAACAGATTGGATACGAAAGAGGAAATCAGGGTAGGCTGCTGTAGCAGGCCAACGGCTGGGGCGATGCTGATACACTACAGACTATTGCAACCAGTTCACACGAAAAGAAAGAAAAAATTATCCCGAACCAGATCCGTTGAAGTCGGCCAAGCCAGCATGGATTGACAGCAGAATATCCCACATGAAAGGGCATAGACTGGTAAAGCCATGTGCACACACACACACACACACGCACAATTGAGATACACAGCTGTAGCCGAGGATGTCAGCACGAATCGCTCACAGAGCAAACAGAACGATCCGTTTCCTAGTCTGGCGTCACTGTTAGCCATATCCAATGACTGCAAAGCACCATGGAGGTATTGGGTGCTTGCCGTGGCAGAAAGGTGGCTGCTGAATAAAGCTTGCAAATAACTTACCATAACACCCACCCACACCCACACATAAGAGATACTTACCCGTGTGCGTGACATGGTGTCCCCGATGTAGACAATAGTGTTGAGCAGTGGTGCCCACGTTTCAAACTCGCGCTGCCAAGCTACAATCGTGCTGAGCGGCACAACAACCAGGAAGGGTCCATACAGCTGGAACTGGTGATGAAGACGATTCAAAACGGACACGGACTGAATGGTCTTTCCGAGACCCATTTCATCGGCCAGAATACACGAGTTCTCCCTGGCGAATGGCAAGAACAAACAACAGCAGCCATAGCAAATGAATGTCCGGGTCAACATTTTGCCCATGAACACATGAACCATAAGAAGCATATCCATTCAACAGAGCATTTCAACATGCTGCAAAACCAAAGACACCATCTGTCGCAACACGCACAGACAACAGGCAATGCAAGTAAAGGGGAATTGCTAATCATGGCAAATTCGAGGATAGAACGTGCTGCTAGTGCTAGCATATATGCGAGTAACAACGTACCGACACCAACAGCAGGTCAGCCAGTCCACGCCGACCAGCTGATAGTCACGCAGGCGAAGGTCTTTGTTCTTGTTGCCAATGTACTCCGGCTGCTCCTTCAGCGGCACGAACTTTGGACGCTGCCGTAATACCTGAAGCAACATAGGGCAAATGTAGCAATTTAACTTACAGCTGTGCTATCTGAAATGCGAGCACAATACCTAGCTAGAGAGAAACCGGCAGGTTGAGAGACACAGAGAAAGACTGCACTGCGACAAGAAAAGAAGAAACGACACGCCCACAGGCAACATATCATGCAAATTGCAGCAAGGCCCAACTCTTCCGCTCGTACCTTGCTATTTTTATTCGGCGTACACTCAGACTGCTCACGGCGCAAGAACTCCCCAATGATGTCTTTATCAGGCGATGCCAATGCCACCAGATCGAATATCTCCCAAGAGCATTCTGAATACGGCAAGCCACACCACTTGACGAGATAGTCCTGCGTGGTGCCGTCCTCGCTGCGGCGATGAGCTGCACAATCAAATGAACACACGCACACAGACGCATACACACACGCACACACACACACACGACCGCACGTACACAGATTGACAAGAGCCTGAATAATTGAATATGACGACATACCGGCTATAGGATTCAAAATACACAGTCTTAGATAGCCAAAATCACAAAATAAAATGTTGACATACCCAGGTCTTCTTCAAGAAAACACAGCTTTGACATCAGACTATGATACTGTTTGGTCATTGGGCGGCCGAGAGAACATAATTGGAGATCGTGCGGCGTCTGCAGTGTTTTATAACTTACCTATGATTCGCTCAGGCTTGGTGTACTGCTTGTTCAAGTCGTCGACCATCTCCATTTGACAGCGGAAATACTCCACCTCCTCCGGTGTGGCATGCTTTTCACTGCAACATCCACATCCACACCCGTAGAAACACACACATGCACACCCACCCACCCACACATACACACGATCCAGAACGCAGCAGAAATGGATCTGATCAGATTCGGCGTAACTCCCAGCATTAGACGTCAGACAAACAATACCAAGAACAGACACAGCCATATCTACCGTACTTCCCCACTTATAAGCGCATGGGCTTATAAGTGAAAAATTGCTATCGCTACAGCGTTGCGCCCAGTGTCTCTCCTGCAATGCTTCTCACCTAGAAGGGCTTTCCCATAACAGGCCAGTGGCGAACTGTATGTTGTTGTTTCAAATCTTTATTCTCACGATAGCCAGTGGCCAATAAGAGAAGTTGTTGATATTAATTTTATATCGCAGTCCAAAACATATGCATGCTCAACTTACGCTTCAACGATCTCCTGCTGCCGCTTGATGTAGTTGTCAAGCTTCTTGGTACCACGGGCATTTGCGACAGTGAGTGAGTCCAGGCTCTCCCAGGTGTTGTGTAGATGCGACCAGGTCTTCCACTTGATCAGGAACTGGCGCTCGGTCGCTTCGCCGTCGCGTATCAGTGCGTTCTGCTCCTCAGACCGGGCAGCGTACATGGTCGTTGTATCGCCCGTGTCTGAAACAATCAAGCACAGGGAAAAGACAGAAGAGTGTTGCTCCAGTGAGAGGTGGGATAAGGGAGAAAAAACAGGGAACACCAAACGCAATACCCAATAAGCCCATTGCGCAATGACGTCGTCTGGGGTGTTGAACGGCGCATTGCTGATCCTAGCGTACTCACATGCATTACTCATACCTTCCACATTTGGCAACGCGCAATGGGCTTATCCAAGGGGTCGTCGCAAGAGTTGGCTGTCGACCCTGAACGTATATCGTTCATTTCGTTACTGCAATTGCCTCAGTGCTACTTCCTCGTGGCGAAATCAGAAGCATGCGTTCTAGTATTTCAGACCGAGGTGGTGTAGTCAGGAGGCTATGAACTGGCTACAGTAGAGCCTCAGTATAGCAGTGATGAGAGTAGAGCAATGTGGAGTGTTCCTCAGATCTCATTGGAAACACACAGCACCTAGTTAGACCTACTATGCATGCAGCACGACCGCGCACAGCACATCATATTGCCTCACCTCTGATGCGACCCTGACGCTCGCCCATGATACGCTCTATGCACTCGCCTTCCGGCTCTTCTTTCACGGGCATAGGAAGAAAGTCGTCGTCGTCCATAAGCTCGTCGTCGTCACTCACAACATCCTCGTCACTCTCTTTCTCCACATAGCTAAGCAAACATGCAAGCGCGCGCACACACACACACACCACGTAGGGGTAAGGTCACAGTCAACACACCAGCAAAAGAGTTCCTTCTGACCAGCATTCGGTACTATTGGAACAACTGGCAGTAGTTAGCAGGGTCCGTTTCGCCGAGGCAGCAATTCACGGCGGGCAATGATCCGCCGAGCGTCCAGATTACAACTTCTCAGCAAAACCACAGCCAACATACCTTACGACACCCTTCGTTGCTTTCCGCTTGGCAGTATTAGCGTAGGAGAATGCATCGGCAGAAGCAGATCTCCCACTGGAGCTACCCATGTGCTTGCTACGTGCCTGCTTCTTCTTCTTCTTCGAAATGTATTTAGACGTGGGGTGGAACTCTGCGTCGGAGCCGCTTTCGCTGCCGCTGCTATGCCGCTCCTCCAGGAAATCTCTCCTAGAGAGGAGAACACCATACACAGAGCCGAGGATACAGTATACAGTACAGCAAGAGGCACCTTGACTGAAATATCAGTACAGCCCCCCCCCCCCCCCCCCCACACAGACAGTACAGTCCCCCCCCCCCCACATGTAAAAAAAACTTGGAAACCGCTGGGCTGCAAGTGCAGTCAAGCTTTCGTAACTCGGCCAAATATTGACCAAATTCAACAATCGAAGGGTCTAGGCGGTAGAGAAAACTCTCAGCTATCGCATCGAGTAGGTCCAAAGTCTCTCCGATGAAGTTGGAGTGAGCGGCGATAGATCGAATATTTTGCATTTTTTTAGTTGCGTGCTGCGAGTCAACAGTGCATAAGAAAGGGATTTTCCCAGCTTCAGGGCAGGCAGCATGTGCCAGGACCGGCGCGGCACGAAGTCAAGACAAGGAGAGTGTCCACTTTTTTAAAAAATTGAGCAGTTCCGAGCTAGGCACAGTGAAATGGCTGAAGGAACCCGATTTCGTCTCAGATCTGGAGCTGGACTCGCGTTTGGAGTGCGTTGTGGCAGACAATGAGTAGTGCTCCTGACGAGTTTGGGCTCATTGTAGTCCTCTCACCATGAGCTTCAAAATCAGTAAGTAGAACCAAGGCTACGCCGGAAATTAGGTGCGCATTTTTGTGACTGCAACAAATCCCGAGGAAGCAAAAAAGTTACAGACTCCAAAGGGTTAACTTCCAGCACACTGACAACCTAAAGCGGACGCACCAAAACGAGGGAAGAACTCTTTTCCTAATAGATCACACATTACTGGAGAAAACTCAATGGCTAGAAACCGGTAGTGTCTGTGTTTGAGGCAAGCTATCATTTCGTTTTGACAACCTGGCACAGGATTTATTTTCAGACAAGGAATGCATCTAAAAAAGTCAACATTCCAGCATGTCAACCGTAGCACAAGCAAGACTAATAATGGTGCCAAAATACAAGTCCAACTTACAGAATGTAGCCATCGTTCTTGTTTTTCTTCTTTGTCGAAGCAGACCTGCCTTTCGTACGACTAGACTTCTTCGACATGCCTCCTTTCCGCCGTCTACCGGATGAGGGAACAGCTTTCCTCTTTATGGGTCGATAGTCATCGCTTTCCTCATCAGATGCGGAGCTATCTGACAGCTGTACAGTGGGAGGAGGGAGGGCGAGAGAGAGAGAGAGAGAGAGAGAGAGAGAGAGAGAGAGAGAGAGAGAGAGAGAGAGAGAGAGAGAGAGAGCATCTCATTTCCGCTAAACCGACTATTAGATGCACCTAAAGGGATACGCAACCCCTCCACGCACACGCACACACACGCACACACACACACAGTCCCTCCACAGACCTTAATAACCCAAAAACTACTGAGATGGCTGTTCTGAACTTGTCTTGATTTGTGTAACAAGTTGTTTATTGTTTCTGTCGGAGGAAGGAATACAGCCAGTAGTAGTGAAGAAAAACCCCAAAAATATAGAAAAGGCGAATGTACTGCTCACTATCAATGGCATATTCACAAATTCACATTAGGGTTTGACAGAGGCTTGTCGATGAGAATATTTAGACTTGAACTCCCAATGCTGCGCCTAAACACAGAACAAGGTGCTAAAGTAATATTCATATTTGGCATGTACGTACTACATGCATATGTACGTATTTAGCCACATTCATGGGAACGGGAAAACAGAACACATGCATCAGCACAATCTGATTATCATGCACACCTCCCAGCCCATCACTTGACACAGTCCCAGATGGTGCCAGGCTGGTGTGCTGGTGAGTAGCGACTGGCTGTGTGTGCGGATGTGGTCACTAAGAGTTCAAGTGTACTTATCTTCTAGTACTAGCATGATGCATTACCAGGACAACACATGAATGCCCATCACACACAGAGACCCGTTTGTAGATAATGCGTGCAGTGTGTGGTGGCCCTTGTCAAGCCTAAGTGCCTGTGCATGACCCCTCAGCAAAGGCAGGGAACAAGGCTGGGTGGCAACAACACACCAATTCGGATATGCAGCAAAGGGAGAGAAAATGGAATACCTCTCTCTGTGGACTCAATACATTTCACCTCAGGGAAGTTCTTCCGGAGGGGGGGGGCACATAGTGCTTTACCGCAAAAGACTCATTCTAGAATGTCTTCCAGCCCAAACCACGCCGTTTGACCAGTAAAAATGGAGGATTGGTGTTGGCCTTTCATATAATTATTGGGGCAAGCTTCTAGCCGCCCTATCTAGGTCAGGTGCAACTGATACTGTACAAAACGTTATTTTTTGGTGTAATTTTAATTTCAGTGATTTCGGTAGAGAAACCAGGCACCTAAATTTAGATCACACCTAAAAGGCGCTAGAATACACACTGTATGTGATGGGTAGGCTGGTCACCTAATTTCTACTTTCTACATCACACCTGGAACCTGGCAGGTCCCGGATGCCGAAATTTGTATACACCTAAAATTACATGTCATACAGTAGGACTCAGTAGAAGGCCATCCTCCATAACATGAGATATTCTCTACACTTCAAGAGAGCTGCAGTGGTACAACTGTTACCTGTGACTGCTGCTGTGGCTTGGTTTTCTGGCGGCTGGAGCGACGAAAGCCATAGATCTCAGCATTCTCCACAAAGTCACTGGGCAGCTCGACTTTTCGAGCTGGACGGCGGCGCCCTGGAACACAAGAAGGAGCAATAAGGGCCACAACCGAAAAAAATCACCATTGACTAGCTCTACAATATGACACAATTCAGTTCAGTTGACAAGAGAAATATTTCCAACTGGCGTTATCAGCCGAAGAAAACGTGTGGCTCATGGTCATACCCGGGTAACCTCAGACAATACATATTATCAAAGATGAAACACATAAAATTTGGTATTCACTGGTTTGAGGGAAAAATGCAAACGGGAAATGTCTGAAGACAAAAACTGACTGTCACCACCAGGACTCGAACCAGGGAAATTCGCTTGAGGCCAGCAATGCTCTAACCACTCAGCTATACATTCGTTTATAGTACACAGTACACACCTGATAAGCTGGAAGAGGGATTGTCAGCACGTGGCTGAATGCGCTCGTTGTTGTCCGGGCTGTTTGACTTGGAGGTCAGCGCAGAGCTGCGCGTCGTGTAGTCACTGGGCGATGCACGTCCAACCTGCCGTGTAACACATACGCACACAAACACACGCACACACCACCACCAGCAGCAGCAGCAGCAGCAGCAGCAGCACCACCACCACCGCCACCGACCAACACACCAGTAGCAGACGTGTAATAATTAGTAACCTCCAGCACAGTAAACACAAAGGCAAATGCATGCACAGATTTCCTCCAAATACTGGATACAGTGCTGCAGTTGTATCACTGAAATAGGCCATCAGGATAACAGAATGATTGCTTGTCCAAAACAAAAGCAACAGTCAGTGGTTACAAGTGGCTACAATGCCTGCTTTAGTAGGGAAACACAGGGTTCGGAACATTCAATATCGAGTTACCCACCGATCGGTTGCTAGTTCCCGTGGTGGAATCAGAATCGGACCCAGAACCAGATGACGAGGAACCAGACCGCGACGAATAATCGCCGTCCTCTGAACTAGAATTTTCCTCAGCATCTTCTTCATCGTCATCTTCCTCATCCCCATCCTCATACTCAGATTCGTCTTTTCTAGCTGCTCCGCCATCATTGCCTCCCTCTTCCTCATCACTGACATTCTCGTCCACCTCTGCAAGGTGCCAACAGAGAACACGTAAACACCAAGAAACCATATCCACAGCTCTAGCAACATGAATAGCGAGAAGAATAACAAGGATAAGAGCAACATCCGTCGCAACATCACACCATGGCTGGTTAAAATCGCCCTTATCACATGTTTATCGGCAGTATGCCATTGTGATAGTGGAGAAAAAACTACACAGCTCTCCAAAGTCTTACCAGAAGCATTGGCAGCATCGCTCTCCGCCTCACTGCTTGATACGGAGGAGCCGGTGGCCGATCCCGAACTGCCACTGGAGCTGCCACTGGAGGAGGAATCACTGGCGGAAGAGTTGTCAGATGATGACTCGTCACCGCTGGATCCGCTATCAGAGCCGCCGGATTGGGCGTCTTGTTCAGCACGCTCGCCACCATCACTGCTCATCTCCGCACTGAACAGGACACAGCAGATGCATTAAAGATTAGAACTCAGTACATGTACACCCTTGCCATGAGCAAACGAAAGAGCTGCCAGCTCAGGGCCCTCGCTATGCTTGCCCAATATACAAGCCACTCAAACTGATAGAACCGTCTTTGCAGTGCAATAAAATGTACCCGCTATCGGTCAGATAAGTATGTTGTGAAGACGTTACGATCTGTTTGAGTCACTCGCATGATTAACTATGTAAAGAACGCGCATGGTGAGGGCCCGAACTGGTGGCCCTCTCTCTCTCCCTCGTCCGTAGGTGTGGTGCGGCGGCCTTATTCCCATGCCAGGTGACGGATTATGTGACTATGACCGCTGATCCGACTGAACACACACACACACCCACACACGCGTGCATACGCAGATACAAAACGAGGCCAAACATCTCGACACGCGACAAACGGCATAAGCAATGCACCACTTCTCGCATTTCAAATCCATCACGGAGGTGGTGGCACCTGGCGACACGGTATTGCAATTCTCCAGGCGGAGAAGAAACTACTTACGACACATGACGTGTTTACAGTACACAGACAGACACTATAGGAACCCAATGAACAGTGTAATAAGCACCACACTAGGCCAGATACAGCTGCTCCACGGACAATACGTCAATACTTTCGCAACAAAAATATCATCAAGGCCACCTTGACATCAGGTAGTGCAAATTCTAACACAGCCTGTATTGGCTATAGCGTGCCCTTTGTTCCCCCGCGGTCTTATCACTATAATCTTGATGCATGTGCAATATTGCATGCACATGCATGGATGTGTGGAGTGCGACCACGTCCACATGGTCAAAGTACTGTACATCTGGTGCATGTACTGTGGACATGTTGTGCCTTTACGGTGCGCATGCACACAGGACTAGCATGGATGGCCCGTGGTATGTACGCACCGCATGAAAACGGAAAGAAAAAGGAGTATGTATGCACTGGTACTGCCTAATATCACTGTAGCCATTAATATCGTTGCCTGCAATGTATGTCTGGATTCAGGTACACCATCGTAATATTCAATATATCACTACAACTGATTATCCGTCATATTGACAATGGAAAAATGCATTTTGCTTGTGATGATGTGTTCTGACATGGCTTTAGCTGATATATCCTTACACCCAACCACTCTATAGCCAATACATGTACTTGTAATGATAGAGACTGGACCAATTTTTACGCCTGTGACTTGAATTCCACTTTTACTCATTTCAGTACAGGGTCGGGGGCCTGAACGATCAGCCCAATAGCATGTACTTTTAACTACTAAAAGTGGACACATACATGAAGGTGAAAGAATATCTTTACGCAGCATTTCTTCAACTCGCTGCTGCTGGTGGGACACATTGGCATGAGCTTCACAAATTCATGTAGGAATAATTTTCAAATGTTTCTTTTACAGCATTTCTTACAAGTTTACACTAAATGTGTACTTTGCCCAGGAAGCTTGAACTAATTTAGCCATAGAATTCTAGCGCAACACAGCAGGACTTCAGCAAGGCGCCGCAGGATACTGCGGGCTTCCAACAACGATCGTGAACGACTATTTAACCGACACGTCAATTATACAATATTATTACACTATATGCACACTCTGTCATATTTTTTTTTTTACAAAATTCCAGACCCAACAACGACGATAGTGCACACAGTACTGACGCATACAACAGGTGGCTTGCTTATTGGCACGCAGGTACGCAAACATTACAATTACAGCAGAAGTCGTATGGGATACTGTACTACAATCTCATGAATGTTACAATTGATAACAAATGGAACAAGAGGACGACAAATATTTTTAGACACAGTAAACGGAGGACAGGTGGGCAGCAAAAAAAACAAGAAAATGGCCGACATCAGTTGCGGTCAGCGGACAAAAACTTACTCGAATAAGTCAGCGTCGATAGTAGACGACTGTCCTCTTCTCTTAGTCGACATTTCCCAAATTACACAAGACTTCTACATTCTGTTTGTTCAGAACAGCCGAAAACCATCAACTACAAGCAAGGAGAAGTAAGTGCTGACGCTGATCTACCGTCCACCTGTTGCAGAGAATAGAACGAACAAAACAGCCGCATGAACAGACTTTCTCCAAAACAGCAAATACTGTCCAAAACAATTATACAATTCAAAAGAGACAATTCAAAAGTGAAATTGTCTGGTCAACAGAGCACACAGATAGAAAAAGAATGCTCAATTGGATACATTATCAGCTCTGAAAATACGCAACGGGATAAGAGAGAAAGAAGAATAGCAGCACGTTTACACCTGGCTGGCAAACAAGCCATCAGACTAGGATACAGTATTCTGAGTGATTCAATTTCAATTATTCCAATTCACGGAATATGAAATGGAAAACGAATTCAAAGCAAATAGATTCGATATAAGAAGAAAGGATGCACGAGAACTAGAACAATGGCAGTTGGGAACCATGCCAGATGATAATATTGCACCAACAGTGACAGTAAACTATTAAAAACTCCGCAGTACCGGTGAACAAATTTTCGATTGACAATGTCCTGTCATACAAACTGCAATTTTCAATACAACTTACTTCAACAATATACTAAAAAAATGGGGAAAAGATAAGTGAAAGGAGGCAACGTGGATAAAGAAAAATTCTCCTAAGGCTACACACTCACCAGACAGTGATCCAAATGTCGTCAGGAAGTAAAGAAACCACTTCGACAATACGCGGATAAGAACAGGAGGTGAACGTCAACCACTGCAAAACCAGACTTGTCTTTCTCACCTATTTCACTGAATAATGTAGCTTTGATACAGCAGCTGCAGTCGTTGACAGAAAAAGCACATTTTTTCACGAAGAAAGATCGCCATCTTGACCATGCGCGCAAGAAACAGCTCGACAACCGCTTTACTTAGTTTTAGCGACCTCATCCTCGCCTAGCGCCTGCTCAGCTTGCGTGCGATATGCAATGCGGGCGCGGGCATGCCATGATCAGATGATGCAAGAGTACATAACCCCCGGCCCCCAGAGTGTGCAACGCCGGGTCCAGCTCTGCATAGGGTACGTATACCGGGTCTTGACTCTTGGGCGAGAGAATCGGATCTTTGCGTCATACTACTCGTGCCGTACACATCTGAGGGGAACCCGGGGAGTCGCGGGTATAATTATGTACTCTTGGATCAAAAACAATGGTGCCCTGCCTCGAGACCGGCCTTGCGCTGGTGTGGAGTCGAGTCGAGTGTACGCATGACATCAGAAGATCCGATTCCGCTCGACCAAGACCCTACCAGGGAGTCGTAAAATACCGGTATTTTACGACTCCCTGGACCCTACTATCAAGAGTTCATGGGGGTTATGAACTCTTGCTACTATGCATAATGCCAGGCTAGGCAGAGCTGGATCGGCCGCGTTGCACACTCTGGGGGGTTATGACCAGGGAGTAGTACAATACCGGTATTGTACTACTCCCTGGGTCATATTATTATGACTGTATACTCTTGCCAGTCTTGGATGATGCCATGCCATGACATGAGGCACTTGACGCACAATTTCGTCGCAACTTGTCAATCGCGACAGTCGCGGTCCCAGTCGTGATGCGCGTAAGCGCGATTCTAGCGGAAAATCTGATTCGCTAGGATCTCGCGTGCGATCGCACTTGTCTTGACTTGATCACTTTGCGCCCGCGGTAAGGCATGCGCAGTTGCTAGGCAATGGCGGGAGATTCAAACAGCAGGGAAGGCGAAAATGTTCTTGGCAGTTTTGTTGTCAGTTTTCAGTGCTGAAATGGATCCTTTGGCTTTGGCTTTGGATTGAGCTTTTTAGCAAGAAGGTCTTTCTATGAAGCTTACCAGCTGCTTACCGTAACGATGGAGTTACAAGCAGTTGAAAAACAATACAATGATGTTCTGTCCAGAGTTCGAGCTCAGTACGGCTGGTTGGAGTCGCTCGACTCATCTTCGAATGCTGACTTGGATTTGTGCTCAGCCGAACAATTGTATCGTGATGTATGTGCGAAAGCGCAGCCACTCAGTGCGGAATGGATGTCTACTCAGCAACTGCGAGTGGACCTTATACGTCAGGACTACCAGAACATGATGCTTCGCTCGGCCACTTGCCAACTGCTTACAGCTCAGAGTGACCTGAAGGTGAGGTGTAGGCGAGCATTTCTGCGTACTAGTACTTTCACAGTCGGATAGGGACAATGTCTGCAAACTTGACAACTGGTTTCTTCATTTCTTACTCCTGGGGCATATGCACATACATACAGTGCCACGCGCAAACACATGCACACACGCACGCACACACACGCATACACACACACACACACATACGTGTGCACACACGCGCAAACACGCACGCACACACGTACTGCTGGAGACTGGTCAGTGATTGGTGTGGGTCTCCTCGACAGGAGAGATATCGAAGAAATCTTGGACGGAGGAATCGATACGCTATGGAGCTGTCCTTTGGTCGAAACCAGCAATCATATTTGGTGCAGATCTGAGGTGGGAAGTGGCGTAGTGCGTACAACTGAGCTGCAGTTGTGCGGAAAGAGGCCTGCTTGTGCACACTACATCACTAAATGATGTCACGGTGACAGCGTGAACAAGGCGAGGACGCCCTGTATGGGAAACAGTGCTCCTGACTACAACCATGAACCGGTTAGTAGAGTCTCGGTCTTGCCACTATTTGAACCATATGGGGCAATGCCCCGGTTCAGACCCTCATTATCTTTCTAAGGGGGCGTACGAAAATTCCCTGATCTCGTAATTAGTACTTTGGAGAAATCCGGTCGTAACTGGTACAATCCTCTGACTGTGGTTGCCTGTCATTGCTCCTTATTTTTGTTCCTGTCCGTGTGCTTTTTGGGGGTCTGTAATTTCGTTGTGTCTGCGCATTTTTTCCAACTTCTGCCCATGGCGTCCTTCTCTCAGCTCGTCAGCTGTTCAACAGTAAAACATGTCACCACCAATGATTAGTGTTGTGAGAAGGTGCTCACTGCAGACGAGGTGGGTGAAGTCCCGGTGCGGCCATGCTCGCAACAGTAGTCATTGGTGATGACATGTTTTACTGTTAAGCAGCTAACGAACTGAGAGAAGGACGCCATGGGCAGAAGTTGGCAAAAAGGCGCAGACACAACGAAATTACAGACTCCAAAAAAGCACACAGTCAGAGGATTGTACCAGTTACGGCTGGATTTCATCTCCCAAGTATTAATTACGAGGTCAGGCAATTTTCCTACGCCCCCTAGAAAGATAATGAAGGTCTGAACCGGGGCATTGCCCCATACGGTTCAAATGGTCGCAAGACCGAGACTCTACCAACCGGTTTATGGTTGTAGTCAGGAGTCCTCGCCTTGTTCACGCTGTCATCATGAAAACATGTTACCTATCAGGCAAGGCTTGCATTATATATCACTAAATGATGTAATATTCACTGGTGTGAGGGAAAGACACAAACGGGAAAAGTCTGAAGAACAAATTGACCGTCACCACCAGGACTCGAACCAGGGACCCTCTCTTGTAGCCAGCGATGCTCTAGCCACTGAGCTATGGTGTAGTCGTCATCCCAGCAGAGACCGTTAGACATTTTCTTCAGACTTCGTAACTCACACTTCCTGTGACTCCACACAGGCGGGTGGGACGCAGCCCTCACCGTAACCCACACACTTCACGTACAAACTAGCACGCGGGGAGCCCCAAGTCATAACATATCCACTGGTTTGAGGGAAAGACACAAACGGGAAAAGTTTGATGATGATGATGATGATGATGATTTTTTTTGATGATCTGCCATGAATAGTGGCATTACAGTGAGTAGTTAAACCCAACACGAATGAAAAATGTGAAATGGAATAAAAACAATATTTGTAAAAAATAAATAAATTAAAATTAAAATTCAATATCGAACACGAATAAAATAAAATAAACAATATGTAAAAAATAAACAATATCGAACACGGAATTAATTCCGGAACTATCTACTCAACCAATTCATAATGCAATACCCGCACACTGCGTCAGTGATGGAACTCCGCTACCCGATCAACATGCAGAGACCACTCAATCACATGCTTAGATTTAGTTAGAGGCCGCTCTCCACAATGGCCAACTCCCTCATCGCATTAACTGGACGATGATGATGATGATGATGATGATGATGATGATGATGATGATGATTTTTTTTTTTTTTTTTTTTTTTTTGGAACCCTACACAAATAATAGTTTAGATGAATCCAACGCAAAGATCGTTTTTCCATGAAATACAACAATTGAACACAATTACATGCTTAAAGGCATGAAAGCAACAAAACAGCAACAAAAGGGTAAGCGCCATACCAATCCCGCCTGCACAGTCAGGACACAGCACGATACTTAACAAACTAGACCTGACTCGGCCACGGCAATCGAGACATCATGAAAACATCTCGCCGGATGGTGGTACCGTGACCGAGCCCCACGTATGCACAACACAGCAGCACGCAGCAAAGCAAAAGACAGCCGACAGCGGAGTAAACCAATGACCTGGGAATAGTGAGATCCCGATGACTCGGCCTGCATCTGGCACAGTCTCTTGAGGAACACATTGCACAGCCTCCCACAACCACCATGCACAGAGAACACGAGAGGTGTGAAAGCGGCTCTTTCTACATTTGTGACTCTTGGCCCATATTCGTTCCACTTACGCCGCTCGTGCTGCTGGTACAATGCAGGAAGGGTTCTGGACCCGTAGGAAGGAGCATCTGGGCAAAATACCCTTACATCAAAAAAAGCTTCCTCCCCACGGGTCCACAACCCTCGAGCGGCTATGTCCAGGCGCGCATCCTCTCGGCGGTTCGTTGACCGAAGAGGAAACCTCTCACCAGAAAGAGGTTGCAGCGCTGGTTCTGTCGAAACGGCAGTGCAGACTTCAGTCAATTCCCTCGCCAGCAGGTCACGTATCTCGTTATGACGAAGTGTCGGGAAGCCGCCCCTGGCGCAACATAGCTGATGCTCAACTGAGAACAGCTCACCACACACACAGGTTGCTGGTGTATTGGCTAGCGGCCATGCATATCTCAATGCCAGAGCATCCCGGAAGTCACGCTTGGTGAGACGAAAGCCATGCTCCGCCAGGGGCAGCACGCTCAGCCATGAGGATGATCCTTTCTCCGTGTGTTCTTCTATTCGTCGCTTCGTCATCTCATCGCTCGTGTCCACTATTTTGTTCCTGGCTGCCTTTGCGCGCTCCCGGTTTTCGGTGTGGACGACACGCTTTTTGTGACGCATTTCATCGATCATCCTCTGAAAGGGGGTACCAGCACCAGCAACATCAGCAGCCACATCCGGTCCAGGGTTTGAGTTGCCAGCGACCTCCCGCGGCTGCACCTCCGTTGCCGTCATCGTGGGAGTGGGAGACGCTCCACCACGGTCAGCAGTATCTGCAGAAGCCGGCACATCTCCAGCGAGAGAAATTGGATCGCTATCCTTAGCGAAATCGCCCAGAACCTCCTTCACCATAGGTCCGGACACTTGCTTGGAGCCCTGGTGCTCAAACCGTGGTCGAGTCGTGAGGTCCGGAAGGGCCATCCCACCATCCCGTGTCGGGAGCTTTAGAATATCAATGTCTTTCAGAGGCACGCTCGGTTGTCCCACGAGCTCCGGTAGAAGTGAGGAGTGAAGCTCCAACGGCGCCAAGTCCTCCGCAGAAACAGACATAGTTCGAAACACATAGTTCCATCTGTTGACTAAGCCATGGGTCAACGCAGAGTATGCTGCATGCGGCTCTGATGCGGCATAATTTGCTAAAATCTCTGTATGTTTCACCCACTCTTCTACTTTTGTCTCTTTGAATTCTCCGAGGAATGCCTCAGTCCCGATAGCAGCGCCCAGATACTGTACGCCACGAGACTTGACGTGGATAGTTGTGTCACCAAAAGTCTCGGCAGCCAAGGACTCAAAGCCAGGCTTGACGAGTAGTTGCGTTTTTGTTTCGTTGATGTTGTAGCCGTATTTTTGGCCCTCTTCCTTAAGGAGGTTGTACCACTTTCGCAATGGGGAGAGCCCTCCGGCAGCTGCCGAGTCATCTGCAAACCATCCCTGGCACACATCTGCAACATTGGTTCCGACTGACTTGACGAGAGGGGTGAGAGCCGTGGCATAAATGGCCATCGCAAGAGGGTCACCCTGGGTTGTGCCCTCCTGTGACAATAAAGACTGGCCACCACGCACAAAGAGGGATGCAGGGTCTTGGTAAGTATTCAATGTTATTTGTGCTAGCGGGGGGCATACTCGAGCAATATTGTGCAATGCAGCGCGGCGATTCAAGCTATTGAAGGCATTGCGAGCATCGACTAGCAACACTGCCTCAGCCTTTTCCGAAGCAAAGGCAGCCGTCATTGAGTGCAACGATGATGATGATGATGATGATGATGATGATGATGATGTAATCAGGGAATTTCGTCGTGACAGCAGCCCATAAGAGCTGCACACTCCGGGTGTCCTGTACTCTTGATCCCGTGCCCAAGAACGTCGTTTCCACTCAGTCAGGCTTGCACGTTAGTTGTGTGCTTTTTTGGCGTGCAGCTCTACTGCAGGACACACGCACACACACACACTCACACGCATGCACCCACCATTCACAAGCAACGTATCTAATTTGCCCTGCGTGTCACAACCGGCGGCATGGTTTCAACAGTGCTTGCTGACAAGCACGGTAAAGCGTGAAATTTTCGCGGCGTTTTTAGTCCGCGTTTTCAGAATCCGGACCAGTTTGCGAGGTTTTAATTTTGCGATTGCAGTATGGCATTCTTGCTAAACCTTTCATGGATCTCCTTTCGCGCTGTCTAAATTTCGCGATTTCCACATGGTCACGAATTTGGCAGAAATTAGACCATGGCAATAATTTCACGGTATACAGTGGAATAAGTAACAACGATTTCCTTTTACACGCGCCATTATATTTGGTCAGTGTTTAAGTCAAACATTAACGACTGTGCCATCAATTGTTCTGCTTCTGTCCAATGCTAGGAGGAGCTGGAGCAGTTTCGGCAGCAGTACTTTGCGCGTCCTGCTGAAAAGGTATGCGCACTGCACTGTGTACGGCGTACCCATGTGCGAAGAGAAGCCGACTACTTTAGTACATGTGCGGATTCTGCCAAGACTGCATGTGAGGTTTTCATTTTATTCCTTGGCTGGCCAGTATACAGCCAGCTGGCAACCTGTGCGTTCACTGTCATGCTGGTTGTGGTACTAGTATCTGACTTGCAGCTTTATATAGAGTCATTTTGTGCATCTGATCACTTCGCTCTGGAATTTTCCCCGAAATTTTACTTTCCAGGTTCACTGCAAACTTTGCAAAGCCAACCAATGGTAGAAGATGTTCAACCCGACTAATGCAGCATGGGCTGGGCCAGTATTAGCTAATTGCCTGATCTTAACCTTTGACTTTGTGTCCCCTTCACAAAAGACTGTCCTATTATTTAATCCAATAATTGTTTTATGAGCGAGAACGTTGCAGAGATCAGTTGCTGTGACTATTTAAGTCTCTCTTTCTCCTTTGTTTGTATCATGTTGCCTTCAGACTCCACGTACGAAGAGAATTGACGACCTGAGCCGGGCTATGTCCGAGGAGCGCATGCGTTGGCAGCAGGAGCGTAAGGCGTTGTCCGAGCAGCTCACCGAGATGATGGTGAGTTGTCTTCTTGTGTTGGACAAGGTTTGGAGGTTCGGAATTTTGTGTGCTTTTTAGTAGCTGCATCTGCACCTTGATCCGGAGAGGTTGGTGGTGTCCCTACGGATGCGGAAAACTCGGCCTCCAGCCGAGTCTAACGCGAATCGTGAAATTAATTTTTAATTTTTGGCTGTGAACCCGTTTGTGAGGTGCCGTCTGTCTGTACGCGCGCCACTCTGCTCCTAGTCTGGGCATGTTTGCTTCTCCGCTGTACGTCTACATTTATAGGCAAGTAGCTTGGTGTGCTTAGTGTAGCGGAGGTTCAACTGTGGATACGCGTGCTCCGCACAATTTCCCCTCTCCCCCGACCATATTCCCCGCTGACTATAACAGTCATGGCGCTGTGTCGATTTCGCACTCAGTCTCTCGCGTCTGCACGTCCGTATGTGATTATGTCATTCTCATCATCTCTATTGTATGTGATCATGTCATTCTCATCATCTCTATCGTATGTGATGATGGCATTCTCATCATCTCTATACGTACAATACGTTCAGTGGATTGTCACCAATCGTATGAAACTAGCACATCCGCTCTCTAGAGGCTGTGACTGCGCACAGTGTGTGCAGAAGCAAGTGCTATTATGTATTAGCTCAGCTCATCACGTGTAGGTGCTAGCTGAGCAGAGTTAGATCCAGAGTGCAACAAGTAGCAGCTGTGTGTCCACTGATAGTTATCACCGTTGCTGTGGATATAGGGGGGACGTTCTACTGTTGAGTTCATTTACATGTAGCTTGGTTGTCTGATGCCTGGAAGATGATATGTAACTCCGTCTTGGAAGCCCCCGTGTTGTGGTGTGGGTGATCGGTGTGGCTGGTTGTTGGCAGGGAGGGCAGATGGAACTCTTGTTGGTCTTACCAGCAGGTTGTGTACACGTGCTGTTGCAAAGAGAGCTGCTGTTTGTTCCTTGCACGTATGTGTGTATGTAGCATGGACCCCTTTTTTTTTTTTTAATTCTCTGCCTGTGTGTGTGCATCTCTCTCTCTCTCTCTCTCTCTCTCTCTGTGTTTGTTTTATGCACTTGCAGACTGCCTTCCATGATGTACAGCAAGAAGCAGATTGCAGACAGCCTGTTGCCACTCGCAGCCATACCACACAGACCAGTAGCAGCCATGTGGTTTTGCCGGCGACTGAAAATTCTGCTGCTAGTCCACCAATGACTGTCCCATCACCATCCTCGGAGACAGGCGATGCGCCATCACATCATCCTAAACGTAAAAGCAGCAGCTCGGACCTCTCCTTTGCCGAAGGTCCAGCTGATGGTGACGGCCATCTAGCTTGTGGTGAGGAGACCACCATGCCTACACCCAGTAAGCATACCACCGCCCGCAAGGCGCGCATGAAGAAGCGAACCCGTGCTGAACGTATTCAAAAGCGGAAGCGTTTCGTCAAGCAAATCGACTCGGACAGCAGCGATGAAGATAGCTCTGAATCTGCCGCACGTCACATTCTGGATGCCAGTCTGGCGTCACACCGAAGTGCGTCATCACCTGCTGTCTCCAGCGTAGCCACGGAGCCGTCGCCGCCGCAGCAGCATGCGTTCCACAATCACGAGCCCTCTGCTGATTCCGACGTCGCCGATGACTCAATGGTGAATCTAAGACGCACGGCCACCGGTAGATCACGGACCACTTTAGTAATGTCTGATTCCTCGTTTGCCGCTCCTGCTGCTGTTAAACAAGGCAGCCGTTGTCGTCTACAGATTGTTTCCGATTCTGATGCATCTATGCCGCTGGCTATCGCGTCTCCAATCGAGGAAGGTGTTGATGCAGTCAGTGAGACCAAGCAACTGCAGCAGAAAAAGAAGAAAGCAGCCAAGCGCCAATCGCTGGTGACATTTTCTCCTTCTGCTAAAGTGGCCAGTAGTAACACCAGTATCACTCCTGATTCTTCATTTGCTGCTGCTCCGCGGCCAAGTGACCGTCGTCGTCGGAGGCACCAAATTCTATCTGATTCCGATGCATCTTTGCCGGCAATTGCTCCTCCGCAGCAGGAGGAGGACGAGGAAGATGTCCGTACCACCCAAGGGCACATCAAGCCTCGGAAGAGCAAGAAGGCAGCCGCCAAGCGCAAATCGCTGGTCACGTTTTCTCCTTCTGCTAAGGCGGCAAGCAGCAACACCAGCGTCTCCCCTGATTCTTCGCTTGCCGCTGCCACTACCTATCAAGGCAAGCATCGTCGACTGATTGCTTCCGATTCTGATGCTTCAGTGCCGGAAATAGTCCTTCCAGTGGAGGAGGAGGAGGTGAGGGTAGTTGACTGTGAGGACAAAGTTCAGCCATCAGCCGACCACCTGGAAGACGAAGCACACACTGCCGCCCAAGCTGAAACACAGAGCACGCCCTTGCGACGCAAGACGCACAAGCGCAAGAAAGCAGCCAAGCGCCAGTCCCTGGTCTCGTTTTCTCCCTCAGCCAAAGCTGTAAACCCGCCGGATAGCTTGCCATCTGACACGTTACAGAACTCTGCAGAGCAGCTAGCCACCATGCACACTGACGCTGAGGCGCTTGAGGAGCCTCTCTCCTACGACGCATCGCCCAAAACTCTGCAGACCTGCTCGGCGAGGGAGGCGTTTGGCGCGTTACTGCCGTCGCCGATCATCGAAGAAGATGAGGAGAACACCACGCTTTCCAGAAGCCGTGCTCCTAGTCGCTGTACTGTGCAGGAGGGAAGTGTGCAGAGCCGGTCGCAAGCACTGATTTGTAGCACTCCAAGCAAACGACTGTCCACTGCTGCTACTGAAGTCAGTTCACCCAACCCATCCTCATCGCCTGTCGCTGCCTCCAAGAAGAAGAAGAGTAAGAAGACTAAGAACTTGCAGCGTGCTCTGCTGGACTCCTCCGCGTCCAGCCTCGATAGCACACCGATCACTCGCAGTCTCCGACTGAACAAATCACCTCTAAGTGTTGCCAGTGCTGCTGCTGCTTCGGAACAGCGTGTAGACGAAAGCCCCGTGCTTAGCGCTATGTCGTCTACTAGCCTAGTCAGTAATGTCAGCAGCCATGCTCCGACGACGGCAAACACAGCGTCGGACGCGGACACGGCCCTGTCTCCACAACAACAGCGTCGGCAGTCGACGAGTGCCACTATCCCGCACAGCCCGCGCGACATCTGCGACGCTGCTTCGCTAGTGTCGGTCAACGATGCCACGGCGTCGTCACTTTCCTCTGCTGGCTCCGAGCTCATCCAGGAAAAAGGAAGGGCAAGGAAACTGCGACGGTCTCTGAACCACTCCAAGTCGTTTTCTGCTGCGCTGTCAAAGATGCTGCCCGGTGCCAGTGGAAAGTCGGCCAAGCAGCAAGCAGACCAGCTGTCCAAGGAGCCGCCGCCGTCGCAATCTCTCAAGCAAGCCCTCGTTCGTCGTCGTTCAAGCTTGCGACTATCCAAGGCGGCGCCATCCGCCAAGGAAAATGAAGTCGCGGGCAGCAGTACCCAAACCGGGAAGAAGTCACGTCGTGCTAGCACCAGCAGTGCAGACAGTGTGACAACGCCAGCCGGGCGGCGTGAGAGCTTACGACGCGGCGCCTCGTTCCGCGTACTGCCCTCCTTCCCTGAAGTCCCGGCCAAGTCCAGGTTTGCCGTCGCCGCAGAGGAACAAGGCAACAATGACGACGACGAAGGATGTGATAATGAGATTGTTGACCGTAGTCCAGCAACACTAACACCGTCTACTTGTGCTGCCGAGAACAGCAACAAACTCAGCGTTGTCGCGGCGAAGGAAACGCCTGGTCCATCGCTCTCTCCCAATGGCTGTATATCCTTTGGTCCGCGCCGTGTTGCTAAGCTCAGCTCTGGCAAGCCGGCCGCTACAAAACGCCGAACAACAAACCACAGCCAGCGCATTGCCAAGCTGCTGGAGGTGGTGCAGAAGACGCCGGACTTTGAGGATACTGTTGGTCAAAGCACAGCACTGCTGCAGCAGCCTTCTGTTGTCGTATGGCAAGTGTCGGAGGCAGACGCTCAGTCCACTGGCGGAGACGCTGGTACTCCCAGCCCCTTGCCACCTGCATTCTCTGAGGAATCAATGTGCCCTGTGGAGGTGCCGGCCACTGGAGCAGCAGCGAGTGCTGTGTGTGCATCGTCGCCGGCCAATGACGACGACGATGTGATTGAGAGCAACGACATGGATGTAGTGCTGTACGAGGCTGAAGAGACGACGGCGATGGTGGCGGGTGAGAAACATGCCGCCTCGCCTGTGTCGAGACGGCGCTCTCTCCGCCGTTCTGGCAAGCGACGCTCGGCTTCAGCATCTGCTGCGGTGAGTTGTTCTCTTCTGTTTGTTTGTTTGTTTTTACTTTACTTCACCAGATACACAGGCATTTCTGCCTGCTCGTCTAACCACACGGCTATACTCTCAATAAAAGATAAAGTGTCTATGGTCATATTACTGCTTTTGCTGTTGGTCTCCGGTTACATGTTCACACACCTGTCCTAGTTGATTTATTTACTTATACACCGGAATGAAGTAGCGTGTTTTGGAGCCATCAGTTGCCTGAAACTCTTGAGTTACAACACAGCTTCCCCTTTGCCTCTCTCTCTATCTCTCTCTCTCTCTCTCTCTCTCTCTCTCTCTCTCTCTCTCTCTCTCTCTCTTGTGTATTTATACACTGTATTCAAGGTTTCCCCAAAGGCCTATCTAGGGGGTCTCCAGGTAATGCTCCAGGTAATGGTTGGCATTGACCAGCTTCGTGCTTTGCAAGTAGAGCCATTCAACTGGTTTCCTTGCTTTCTGCTCTCAGCTATGCTTTTTCGGTCTTCTCTCCACTCGCGGCACGTTATCATGAAGAACCATAGTCGTGCCGAGGGTGAGGTGTGTTGAATCTAGCACACATTCACTGCCGCCTGTGCGTCGTGTCACTGCGCTTGCTTGATAGCTGACTACCCTGTCTGTTCCATGTCAACGTTCCTCTTTGTTCTAGGTTGCGGATGGCGACACACCACGTGGCAAGCGTAAGAAGCGGGTATCGTCGGCCAACGGAGCAGCCTCTCCGACTGCCAGTCCGGTCATTGCAGCGTGTCCCCTCGACACCGCGCCAGCTCCGCCATCACCGCCGGCTGCTGGAGATGCCGGGCAGCAACAGCAGCCGCCTCTAGCTTTGCAGGAGAACACCAATGCTCGCAAGCGCACCCGCTCCGTGGGCCACAAGCCGTCTGTCACGTCAGCGGGTGATGATGCTGACGCTGCTGGCGTTGAAGAACAACCAGCCGGGGAGAACACTGCTCCCGGTCGCGGCCGCAGCATGCGCCGTGGTATCAAGCGCAGCAAGTCGCTCAAGACCCTCAAGACTCCAACGCAGCAAACCGGCCGACAAGCTGCTGCTGCTGCTACTGCTGTTATACGAGACACGGATGGTTTCGAAGTGCCAGGCGCTCTTGTGGATCCCACTCAGAAAGCCAACAAGCAACCGTCTGTTGAGAAGGTCAGTGGTTGGAAGAAAAAAATGTGTTGTGGGTGCGTGTGTGCATGTGTGTGTGTGTGGGTGTGTGCAGTATTGACCTACTGGGTCTCTGTTGGCAATCACGTACACATGCTCGGTTAGTTCTACACCACAGCATGATTCGGATTGTGATCCACACAGCCGTGACCTGATGCGTGCCGTGTCTAATTGGTTAAAAGGATAGAGCACCATGGACACCGTACTGTGATTGCATGTCTTGTTTGTTATTTACTGCATGATGCTATGATGTCTATGATGCTTAGGAGGTTGAAGTCTCCATTGATGCTGCATTGTATGTACAGTCAAAACCTGGAAAGACATACCTACAAGGGAACATGGAAAAAGTACTGCCTAGCCGAAGTACTTACTGGCCATATTGCAAGAGTGCAAATCATGATGCATGCAGTCAGACCTCGCGTAACCGCACACATCCGTTTTCCTCAAAAAATATCCGGATAAGCGAGGGAACCGGATAAACGAACCCCGGTCATGTTGGATGCATTACGTATGCCGTAAATCTGTAACCAGCTATTTTCTTCCGGATAGGCTAGGGATCCGGATAAAAGAGGACCGGATAAGCGAGGTCTGACTGTATCAAAATGATGTGCTGCAATCAAGTGTGCCAGTTTTTCATCAACTGCGAAAAGTACGTACTACACTATAGTAAATCTTACACCCTGTGCATACTAGGCAGTTTTCACTGTTGGATTAATTTGCTGTGTGTTTCTCCTCTGTGTGTGTGTGTGTGCGTGTGTGTAGCGCCGTCGTCTGAGTCACATGCTGGCTGGAGCACCGTCCATATCGCCCGTGCCCGGCAAGGCCAATGGTGTCAATCGCCGTCGTAGCATACTGCGTAACAGCACCTTGGCAAGCCGGGAGTCCATGGTGTCCATGTGCGAGCCAAACGCTAACAGTACCAGACTGTCCATGGATGGAGCTGCCACCGGTTCTGACAGGTGAGAATCTCTATTTCCCATCCCACCGTGCTCTGTTCATGCCGATCCCGTGGTGCTGTACATGTCAGTGCGAGCGCTTGCAGCACAGTTTGTATTGATATTTCAGTCAGACCTCCCTTAGCCGCACACATCCGTTTTCCATAAAAATATCCGGATACGCGAGGGAACCGGATAACCGAACACCGGATATGTTGGATGCACTACGTATGCTGTAAATCTGTAACCAGCTATTTTTCTTCCGGATACGCGAGGGATCCGGATGAAAGAGGACGGGATAAGCGAGGTCTGACTGTATGCACAACACCTGTGTAAGAGATTTCCTCAGAGACAACAACGTGCTATAATACTCAGTAGGAGCACAAACTTCAGGATCTTCAACAACATTCTGAAATGTTTTTCGCAAGAAAACTTTCTTGCCTTCTCTTCAGGCGATACACAGGCAAAAGAGCAAACGGGAACAACTGATGTGTTTGCTCCTACTAAGTGTAATACCTGTGTGCTCACCTGTGTGCTCACCTTTGTGTTCGTTGTGTTGGAATCTTGTTGTTTTGTTGTGTGTAGTCGGCGTCAGTCTGTGGCCTTCTCAACGTTAAATTCATCACAAGCCGGTACCGGGCGTCGTCGCACTCTCTTCAGTCAGCGAGATAACACACTGAGGGGAGAGACTTCGGTAAGTCCTGCTAGCTTGTAGGTGTGTGTGTGCCTCTCTCTCTCTCTCTCTCTCTCTCTCTCTCTCTCTCTCTCTCTCTCTCTCTCTCTCTCTCTCTCTCCCCCCCCCTCCCCCATCTCCCTCGTGAGCAGTTGTCGACTGATCTGTGCATCTTGTACTGCGCTACGCTGCACTGCTTCATGACTCGCGTGGAAAGTCGCACTACAAAAAATATGTATGTTCAGCGTGCACACACGAGGCATCTTCACAAAGTACAATACAGTACTAGAGTGTCTGTTGACTGTGACATTTCACTACATGTACACATATGTGCTGTGTCTCTGACTATTGCCAGTCTTCTTGAGGTAGACTGCTTCAGACCTACTGTCAAGAGCTACTGCTTTTACATGTGCTTTTCCTGAGAACTGGGAAGGGCTCACTTTACATGGCTGACTTGTAAAATTAATATGAGACAGTCGCGTCCAAAAAGGTCTGCACGACCACCCCACCCCTTCTCCTCGGGTCACAATCTGTACCCTGTATTGCTTGTTGGTGTGCGGGAATACCAATATTTCTCAGTGCATCTGCTATCTACTATCTGTCTTGTGACGGTGTGTGTATGCTTGTGTGTGCGTATGTACATGTGTGTTACGCCCACACCTGCACATCTACACGTACAGCTGAGCATGTTTGGAGCGTCAATGGCCGACGCCGGCAAGAGTGCTGCGGGCACCGGTGGCCGCAGGTCGGCCTCGTCCTCGTCGCACAGTCTCACGCAGAAGCAGAGTATGCAGATGATGATGGGCCTGTTCCGCACCGGTTTCAAAGCACCGACGGTGCGTGGCTCGGCATCCACGTCACGCACTAGTCAATAAGCAGCTTCATGTCGCTTTGATCACTTTACAATCCGCCACACACACACACACACGCACACGGAGCATTACCTGCGACTGTGCGGATTCAAGACCATAGTAAGTTAGACGTAGTAACGGATTTGTTGTGTCAAATGACTTGTCTCCTTGCTCGCGTCTTCCTTATCTTTATAACTGGTACGCGTTCACTGCCCAGGTACTGTTACATACCTCTGCCCAGTACAGCGCATGTGTAGTGGCTTGGTGACCTAGCAGGTAGGTATTATTTTGGTAGATTTAGAATAATCTATTTTAGTGGTTGCGGTTTGGCTGCTCATTGCTCTGGCTACTCCGCAGCAGCTGGTACCAGCTTTAGTTAGAATATCCGTAGCTAGATGCTGGACGGCTTGTTTTCTTTGTTCGTTTAGTCAGCGGTGTGTTCTGCACTCGCAGCGCTGTACATGTAGGAGTGGGAGTACGGTCTACACTCTGCAGTACAACCTGTGTGTGTGTGTGCGTGTGTGTGTGCGTGTGTGTGTGGTGTCCAAACTGAGGTTGTTATGGTGCATAGTACTGCATGCATGGCATTGCTTTACCTTCTCTTGTCGTGCCGTCTTCACATTATCGAGATGTATGGTTATGTTATGGCGCGCTTATTTCTAGTTTAGCGGCGTCTGCATCACGTACGCTTTTTATTCTCTCTCTCTCCCCCCCCCCCCCCCCCCCCTCACACACAGACATTTCACTGGACCATAATTAAATTCATGTCTATAAATGTGAGGTTCTTTCTTTTTCTTTCTGTCCTTTTTTAACCAACACACCCATGTTATGTGCATCTCTTGCTTTATATCAGGAAGAGATGAACAAGTCCTGCCTGACCAGCTGCCAGAGACGGGGACTAGTGGATGTATATGTAGCGGAGATTGTTACGTTTCTTGTGGTGGCAAGAATAATTATTATAGTCCTGATTGGCCTTCTTCGTGCATGCATACCGGTATTTTTTTTACGACTCTTGTATTGCAGCTGCCAGCACTGTTGGTTCATTTTGCCAGTGTATGCATGAACTACAGTGTGTGTGTGTGTGTGTGTGTGTGTGTGTGTGTGTGTGTGTGTGTGTGTGTGTGTGTGTGTGTGTGTGTGTGTGTGTGTGTGTGTGTGTGTGTGTGTGTGTGTGTGTGTGTGTGTGTGTGTGTGTGTGTGTGTGTGTGTGTGTGTGTGTGTGTGTGTGTGTGTGTGTGTGTGTGTGTGTGTGTGTGTGTGTGTGTGTGTGTGTGTGTGTGTGTGTGTGTGTGTGTGTGTGTGTGTGTGTGTGTGTGTGTGTGTGTGTGTGTGTGTGTGTGTGTGTGTGTGTGTGTGTGTGTGTGTGTGTGTGTGTGTGTGTGTACCTTGGGCAGTAAAGACGCCAGCCCCGGTCATTCCACTGGATTTCAATGTCCACAACAGTACATTCCCAGATCCATGGTACCCCGCTTTCAAGCACACAAAGTCACCATGTGACTTATATGGACACAGCAAGGAGAGTTGGATGGAGGCTGTCAAGTTAGTACAAAAAGTGAAAAAAATCAAAAAAAGTACACCAGAAATTTTATGAAAATAGATGTGCATCCATCCAGGAACTGGTGTGCGTTGGATACTCTCAAAATATAGTCACAGTGCGGCGGCGACAGACTCTGGATTCAAGACTCACTCGTCCAGGAGGAATCACCATTCCTACATTTACAGTACTTCGCAGTACGAAAAATAGAGCCTGCAATCATGTGAATACGAAACTAGCGTCTGCAGGACGACAGAATGTCAAAATCTGGATTTGTGCTATTTTCCGGGCTGGTAGTACATATCGGATACCGGTATGGAACACAATCATCATGACACACACACACACGCCTACAAGGCATGCGAGGGAGCAGTGTGGTGATGGTGACTACGATGCGAACGTTTGCGTGGAAGACGGCTGTTCCTCCTTGGGGCATGGGAGTTTTTAGCGGTGGCCAAATACGGATGTGCCTGCACACAAACAGACAAACAAATGGACCATTAGGCCGAGTAAAAAAAATTACTAGATGATCGTCCTTTTTTTTGGAAAAATCGGGGAGGGCGGGAGGATTTTATTTTTATTTTTTTACTTTTTACCCTCTCATGCACACAGTGTACACAACAACATCAAGGTTTTTTTCTCTTTTTTTCTTTTTTTTTCTTTTTTTCTTTTTCTTTCTTCAGCAGATCGATACTGACGTTGTGATATACTAGTAGTATGTGGTCCATATAGTAAAGAAAGTATTAAACAAAGCGTGCACATGTTTCCTGCATCCGCGATCGGTAAAAAACCAACGATTTCGGCAAAAACTCACGATTTAAAAAATAAAATATTTCTTGGGGCGCTGACAAAAACTGGGGCGGACGGGGACGATCATCTAGCTTTTTTTTTTACTTGGCCTTAGGCTGGGATCGTTTTGGTCAAATCTGGATTCGGATCCAGACCCTAGATGCATTGGATCAAGAGTACATAACCCCCCAGAGTGTGCAACGCCGATCCAGCTCTGTGTAGGGTCTTGGTCGAGCGGAATCGGATCTTCTGATGTCATGCGTACACTTCACACCAGCGCAAGGCCGGTCTCGAGGCAGGGCACCATTGTTTTTGATCCAAGAGTACCCGCGACTCCCCGGGTTCCCTTCAGATGTGTACGGTATTATGACGCAAAGATCCGATTCCGCTCGAGCAAGACCCTATGCAGAGCTGGATCAGGCGTTGCACACTCTGGGGGGTTATGTACTCTTGATTGGATCCATCCGTGACTTTTTCGCCTACTGTAAGTCAACAAATTTTCGGCCCATTCAAATTTCGGCCTCCCACGGCTAAAACCCATTTCGGCCGCATCAAATTTTCGGCCTGCACTGCTGCCGCCTGTATACACTGTCACACTGAACCTTACAAAACAAATTTTCGGCCAAACTTGACCAGGCCGAAAATAGCCGAAAATAAATAACGGTTTGCGCCGGATATTTGTTGACTTTAAACAATATTTGTACACTGACAGACAGACAGACACTCGTGGATAGTGCATTTACATGTATGAATCCCATGGCTGGCCCTGTGCTGGTGTGTTCTCATAATTATCAAGCTTTTGCCACACGAGACAGACAGACAGACAGACAGACAGAGAGCATGTGTGTTTGCTTTGAGGATTGAAAGGGGGGGGGGGGTACTGAAAGCACACAACACCTACCTCAGATGGGCAGAATAGAGGATCATGTTCACGCCAGTGAGTGGGCTTTTGGCCAACAGGTGTTATCTAAGGGAGAACAGGGAAACAAAGATGAGAACTCAGAATTAGCAACAGTGATTTGATACAGAGCTGACAGCACTGGGATCTCACTCTCTCAGTCACTCTCCCTCCCTCTCTCTCCCTCCCTCTCCCTCCCTCTCTCTCCCTCCCCCTCCCTCCCTCCCTCCCTCCCTCCCTCTCTCTCTCTCTCTCTCTGCCACACACGCACACGCACACACACACACACACACACACACACACACACACACACACACACACACACACACATTAAACCGCTGCAGTACTAACTAGACTGTTCCATAGGGTGTTGGCAGCTGTGGCGTGTGCCTTGCCACTGAAGTGGAAACAATCCACAGCAAACAGGCTGAAGTCTGGCTTGCCATCAGCCTATGGGAAAAGCAGAAAGACAAGCACGAACAACACGGAAACAACAAACTGTGATTAACAAAGCAGCACCTTCATTATCATCATCACCATCGTCGTCGTCATCGTCCTAAATGCTCTACGCTTGTCACCCTAGCCTAGGTAGAATCCCTAGGTAGAATCAGAGAATAGAATCATAGTGTTACTGCAGTAACTCCAGGTGTCAGGTGCTAGCGATCATCAGACAGCACATGATCGCTAGCGCGTGAAACTCTACACGTGATATACACCCAGTATGTATGGGACAATGTCAGTTGGGACACTGGTAGAGGTGAGCTGGTAGGCAAGTCAACACGTGCATGCAGTTCCCATGTGCTCGTGTGTAGATTATACATTCATACATGCCCCCCCCCCCCCCCCCCTCCACACACACACACACACACACACACACACACACACACACTCTGGAGACCAGGACTCAGACCTCACAAGGCACAACTGGACATGTACGTACAGTCAACTTCGCTAATAACGACAACTCGCGAATAACGACAGATGTCCATGCCCAGAGCAAAGTCCCATTTAACTGTAATACATATAATGAGACTTCGGGTACATTA